TTGGGTGTGATGCGATACCGTACGCCGAGGCTTTTGCTTGACAAGCTTATGGTTGAGATCAACATGAAACCTGTGAGTTATAATATTGGGACTTATGTCTTTCATCTCTGCAACATCCCATGCAAACATATCCACATTCTTACTTAAAAAGTCAATCATCCCTTCCTGCTCGGCAGGAGACATGGTGGAGCCGATCAAGAAGTATATGTCCTCGTCCCCCTCCGTCAGGAGCACCTTCCGAAGATTCTCTAAAGAGTTACTGGTTTGGTCAATTCGCAGTTCATCGATGGCCAGTCGTCCGGACTGTAGTTGTTATTTGTTCAATACTTCCCTTGGGGCACACTCCTTTTCCTTGGAGGCAATCACAGCTCTCACAACGGCATAGAAGTAACTCTTTGCCGAGGCTTGGTCTCCACAAATCTCTATTATCCTCTTTAGGGTGAAAATTTTCAACTTTTGATGGTAGGTCGAGTGCACTACCCCAAGCGAGTACAGCCAAGTCCGCCCCATGATTATGTTGTATAGTGAATCAGAATCGATCACCACGTATTCCGTGTTGATCATGATAGGTCCCATCATGACCAAAAAAATGATCTTCCCTAAAGGTAGGGCAAACAATTCATTGAATCCGACAAGGAGTGTCTTGACAGTGGTGAGGTCCTTGAATTCAAGTCTCATCCGCTTCAATACATCAAGATGCATCACCTCCGAAAAGCTCCCCAAGTCTACCAGGACTCTCTTGACATCAAAACCACCAATCCGTAAAGTTCTGATCAAGGCATCCTCGTCGGAGAGGATTACTTCTGCTAGGTTGGCATTGGTGAAGGTGATGCCTCTTTGATCCGTCTGGGGCCTCTTACTTGGCTGGCCCTCATATTTCTCTTCCACCTTCCTGACGAAAGCTACCCTCTTAAGGTCGGACTTAAAAGTGTTGGTTGTCGTCCATTCTAGGGGGCAGACGTCAATGATGTTACCGCGGACAATGGTATAGTCATCGGCGGCTCCTCCTCAATATACTCCTTGAGATATCCCTCCTACACTAGCTTCTCCAGGAAGGATTTGTATACTTGGCGATCTTCGATAAGGTGCCCCACGTCCTTGTGATACGGACACTTTGCATTCTGGTTCTTGGTGGACGGATCGCCCTGCATCTTGGGTGGCCTTCTTAAAGAATGGATCCTTCTTGATCTTGTGCAATAACTTGTAAATGGTCTCCTTGAATGCGGTGTGGACCCCTCTAAAGGAATTCCCCGATGCTAGGATCAATCTTTTCTGAGGAGGGGGCCCTTCTTGCTCCTTATCCTTTTTCTTTAGAACTAAGTTCTTCCTTTTACTCCACACCAACTCGTCTTCTATCCTGGAGTACTTGTTGATTCGGGCCATCAACTCGCTCATGTCCACTAGCGTCCGTTTTTTCAATGACCTATAAAGATCTGTGTTCCAAGAGAGGACAAGTCTGAAAGAGGTCACTTCCATAACCTTGGAACACCCTTCCACCTCGTTTACCTCCTCCCAGTAACGAGTGGCATATTGGTGGAGTGTTTCTCCTTTCTTCCGTTAGAGGGTTAACAATGACCCAACATCTTTGGGACGCTTGCTTTCCGTGATGAACCGTGCCGAGAACTATCTAGTCAGCTCCCTCTAGTACTCTATGTTATTTATCGGAAGGGTCTCAAACCATTTCATGGCCGTATCACCTAAGCTCATTGAAAACACACGGCATAGCAGTCTATGATCCGAGTGATAAAGGAACATCATTAGCTTGTATTGTCGGAGATGAGCTTCCGGGTAGGAACATCCATTGTAAACTTTGAGTTGTGACACCACAAACTTTTTTGGTACCTCCATCTCCATGATGTTTTTGTTGAATGGAGACAAAATGGTTTCGTCATCCGTGTTATCGTCGGGGGTGGACTTGTCCATCCTCATAGAATTCAACTTGAACTTGAGGTTTCCCCCCATCCTTATGGTGTCTCCTCTCACCATCGTCGTGACAGGCAGCATGTCCCCCGGCTTCTCCGTTCTTCACGGAGAGGGTTGACCCCTCCTCGGACGCCTCTGCGCCCCCTCGTCCGGACAGTCTCCGACGGAGGTCATCCCAAGCCAAAGGTTTGGCCCTCTTGGCTGGGACCTCTGGGTCTTTTCCATTGGCCCTTGAGCATTTCGAAGACTTGGAGCCCCCTGCTCTGCCACTTAGATGATTCATCAAATCGCTGGCTCCCACCTTCTTGACGAATAATTCCTTAGATGGTCGCAAGTTTCTAGATCCCCCACCGAAAAGTTCAAACTCATCGAGCTTGTTAAGAATGTTCACGTTATTATCCTATATCTGCCTCAATCCATCCCCCAACCGTTCTTTGATGAGATCGACAAGTTGACAGGTTAAAAGGTCGTCTTTCTCGCCCCCAAGACTCAGTTTAGTTTGGTGGGTTCTTCTTCTCGAATGGATTGAAAGTTCTTTATTGACATTCTTAACGTGATCTTTCGTTCTCGAAATGGAAAGAGTTGGTACGTCGACGTTCCTTTGTTAAGGACCTTTTCCTTTCTGACAAGTATTCACCATGGTCACTATCACAAGAAAAATTGGTTGTTGCCCACAGACGACGTCAAACTGTATGCGGTGATTTTTGCACAATAAATGAATTGACAGATCTCTCTCTTAGGGAACTCGAGATTACCTGAAAAGTCAATGATCCCATGGCAAATGGAAGTGAGAAATGGTATAAGGAATGGTGATGAATTACTTTTCCAATAATCCATGCAATCCCGGCGTATCAAGATGAACTCTGCCACTTAAAAAGAAGGTTAGAAGGGCGCCAAAATATTTTCAGCGTGACATCTCCTACGATCAAGTTAGTATGTGAGAGAGATGTGAGAATTCACCGTTCTATTGCTTGGGTGAGAGTGTGCGTACCTTTGTTTTAAGTTTATGAGAGTTATTTATACCTTCATAGAGATAATCATTGCGGACAAGTGGGTCTCTTGGAGAGGAGGCCCCTCATTAGCCCATTTGGAATGCAATAGATGGTGTACAGTCTTTGAGCAGAGCGTCTTCCATTTTGCATGTAAAGAAGTTTATGCATTGAATGCTCGGACTCCTGAGCACTTAATGCTCTTTCTTCGAGGCTCTCCGAACAATAAATATGTCTCATCCTTATGAGGGATAATTTAATGTCCTTTATTGTAGCTATGCATGGTCCCCCAAGAGGTCGTGTCATCTGGGCTTCGTACTACATGAACGCTCTCTATTGGTCACTAAGTTACCTTCCTTGTCATTCTGATCGCCTTGGGAAGAGGATTTAATGATTAAAAGCCACCCTTATCTCTAACGTGATGACATCATTCTTGACTTATCTAAGAGCTTTGTCATTTGTTATATTCCAAGTCCCAAGGGAGTCGCCAAGACCTCGGTGGAGTAAAGGACCTAACACTGAGGACACGTGTTGGGTGGAGACCCCCTTAGGGGAACTTTGGGAGCCGAGAACAGGTGTCGAGTGATGAAGACTCCGAAGCGCTTTTCGTGCCAAGGACACGTGTCACTCGCATACAGAGTCGAGGGTTGCTCACGCGCGAGGACACTTGTCAACTCCTTGCCGATTCTCAGAAACGTCCCATCACTTATGCTTTTCTCAAGGAAATCTAGATGTAAGAATAGAATATAGCCGAACAGTTTAACAAAATCCTCGCACAAATGATGAAAATATTTTAGAATGTATATGTCACTTCATATTCTTTTTACCTTTTTTTATTCTAATTTAAATAAGGATTTGAGTTTCTATTGGAGATGGTCAAGGAAGAAAGAGAGCAAGCCCATGGATTGATGTATTCAGATCCCCCGAGGTAACCCGATTAAATGATAAATTTCAAGGGATCTGAATATATTTTATTCAAAAGAATAAAATTATGATGTGTTTATCAAATATTTTATGAGATTTTAAGTTATAAATGATGTGACATATTAACAATGGTAAGCTATGTATGTAAAACTCACTAATATAATTTATTTATTTATTTTGAGTAAGAAAAAAGATGAGATTCAAACCATCAACCACTTATGAGGATAACTCATCTCATCACTAATATAATCATTCATATTTGATTTAATATAAAACACTTTCTCAAAAATTCAAGTTTAAGTTTACTCCCCCCCCACCCCAAAAAAAAAAAAAACACCAATGTCAACTTAACGGATTGGTTTACACAATGATGCTCTTAACCAGTTCTGCTAACCAGTTGAATCCTTCTCATTTTGCACTACCAATTTATGAACAGAATATCGTTTCATTCCAGCAGGCAGATCAGTGCTTTCGGTGCCTCAGAAGAGAAATTCTTTTTGGATCCCAATCCCAAATCAGTAAAGATCCTTGTGATTAACGGGGCCCACAAAGCCATCGTTTGAAATCCCACATTTGGGCAACGTACCCTTGTCAGTTTATTCGATGCTAGCTAATTGTACTATAATTTCCCAATCAACATTTCATCCACTGCAGCACTACGGGTTCGATTATGTTAGTTCTACTTCACTAACAATGTTCCATCCAACATTTCAAACATGCCTCCAAACCATGAAAATAAAAAATAAAAAAAAAACCCCGATATTCTACTAAAAATTGCATCTATTATAGTGGAATATATTTACACTGACTAAAGAATGCCTGCTAAGTTCTTGACTGTAATGACAGGAAAAAAAAAAAGAATCTCAGTTCAATCTTGTTGAACCTCAAAGAATTGGTATACTTCATAGCCGCTTGCAATATAGGGTGTTAAAAGACCTCAAAAAGTGGAGTTTCTATCCGAAGGGAATGAATCAGACGAATTGATCAAGACTTGCCTTGATTGTGAAACATGTTGAGGCTGTTAGAAAGAATCAATTTTCTCCCTCATCAGCACAGGCTTTTTTTCTAAATCCGAGCTGAGAACTAAAAAGTGGAGTTTCTATTGTGTTGATAGTGTTGCAATTAGGATTGAGCTGTCAATTTGGGGTTGAGATTTTGAACATCCTATCTTCCCAGTGGCTTCTGCTTGTATCCGTGTTTCATCCTTTCGTGTAATTTCTCTTTTAATCTTCTCTTCTTTTCCTTCTTTACCCGATACCTTTCTTCCCTCTCTCTTTCGTAGATACCTGGCCAATATACTTCCCCTGTTAATGGCCACAGCCACCTCTCACTTGGATGATCATTGTCATCTGCAGCCTCTGCTAAATCTTCATCCATACTCTTCAGCAGAGTTGAGTTGAAGTATTTCACCCACATAAATGCTTTTCTCTGTTCAATTGGGTGATGTTCCTCCATCGCACCTGAACGTGGATTGATGTAAACCATTTTCCGAGGGCTATGATATGCCCAAACATTAACCAGGAGTTCCAAAACCCGACAGTAACAATGCTTCTTCTGGTGATCATAAGACATGCAATAATAAGAAATCCTGTCTCTCTCTTTATCAATGATTCTGATTTTAGTTCGAAATGATGCCTTTAGCACGAAACTACCTTACCTCAAGCGTCGAGTAACCCAACAAACAGTGAGTGTTTTTGGTTGAATTCATGTGCCAACGATCAAGAGAATCAGCAAACATCCTGGGGTTCAATTGAAAGATTTTGGTTACAAGCAGGTTGATGGCCTTTGACATCACATGTCATGATTGGACAAAAAATACTTGCTACATAAGTAAAAGACACTTTTCTGGTACATTACCTGGAAAACATTATGAACTCTAGGAAGGAACGGGTAGGCATCACCCAGCTATGCAGGGCAGACCAATGGCCACCATCCTGAGGCATGGGCGGAAGGGCTTCTACCGATGATGGCAAACCATACATACGGCGGAATGCATCTTGAAAGGCAGTTCTGTATGCATAAATAGAAAAACGGAAAAAAAAATCTCATTCTGATCAGGTACTCTTTGAGAAATTTATCATGACTTTGCAAACATTAAATCTAGAGACACTCAAGTTAGAGAGAAAACATTGAAAACCCCCATCTAATCTGATAAAGATGTATTAAAAATTAAGTACAGGTCTTAAATACATGAAACTCCAAAAAATTTTGAAATGTACTGATATAAAATTTTCCAAACCAAAAGCAAATAAAACAATTTAACAGTAGGATCAATCAAAGACAGAACAGAATATGGGTCAGTTGAAGCATTGACTTGGTAGAATCTGGATTGAGCTTAAGCTTCACCAAAGCTTAGTGAGCTTGTTCAGACCTATTACCAAGCCAGTTTCCAACCAAGTTTCTTGCCCAGCCTAAGACAGCTATCATTGGACCAGAATATAGAATTCCTAACTAAACCGACTGTAAGTATTATTTATATTTTATAACAAACTTCAGTATAAACTCAATGATCCAGTATAAACTCATTGGATTCACTATACTTGAGAACATTTGATTTTAAAGTGTCTTCCTCTGATTGAGTGAGTTCAACATTAGGATTCAGTATCATTAAGGGCAGAGAGCATCTACACCTGTTCAAGAGACTAACCAAGCCCACCTGTTGTCAAAATTAGCTTATAAACCAATAGCTCAATATAACTTAAGAATACTCTCAGAATTTACTCATTCTATAGGCAAAGGGTGTCTTGGATGAGTTTACTAACAAGTAAAATCCAAGTTATCAACAAGCAGCTCATGTTTACTGGGTATATCTATGATAGACAATCCATAGAGTGTAAGTGCAAACCCTAGCTACCATAAGCTTCCTGTCCTTTTAAAAACTACAGGTATATACTTGGTATGCAAAGGCTCAACCTCCAGATACAAAAAAATACCACACATATAGATGTCAGCATAGCATACTACATTAGTAAGTAGTTTTCGTTTGCTCCATGGTTTACGTATTTTTGTTAGGGTGGTACGTGCCTGCAACAGATCAGAGCAATTGGATGTACCATTTAAAAATATAGCTACAAAACTTTAACCAGGAAACTTTCTTGTAAAATATATTTTGCTCTTATTTACCCACGTTTGTATGTGATATACCAAGTTGCCAACGATATATTGTGCTAATATGAATCAGTTCGCTGATTTAATTGGTCTAATATCTAGATATTCGGATAGCATAATGTGCTGACTAGGATAAACAAGGTCAAGATTAATAGTAAATAAGTGCAATCGATCCATGCCACAGGTAACAAAGAAGATGAAGAGCAGGAAAAGACGAATGAAGAGACATAACCAAAAGAGGTCCTAACTGAGTTGTTCACAGGCAGGAAAGAAGAAAGGTAGGGTAGGAGGCTTTGGTGTTATGGCAGGTAACGTTTCGTAAATCTATCAGCACACCCTCAAATTGTCTCTGAGCGATGCAAAGGCCAATAAAGAAATTCATGCTTGGGGCCAATAAATTGCTTGAAACACCTAAAAAAGACTGGAATGGCCCAGCACACAGAGCAGTTCAAAATTACACCAGACAAAATAGGTTTCATGTACATTATTTTTCCTTTTTGTCATCAATCAGCAATTCCCAGAACAGGCCGAATCAAAAGCAAATTAAATAAAAGTGTCTACACACGGCTGATGTCCACACAACAACTATTGTTAAAACTTGCCTGCAGTGTCCCCCGTTTAAAATGTCACACATGGACCAAAAAGTAAGCCCTTCATTGCCTCCTGTAAGTCCACCATCCCAGCCCAAGCGCACCCAAAAGTATAGTACATCTCCTTTAGTTTTCTCTTGCATTTGTTCTTCCAGAACCTGTTCAGCTTTGCCAGACAAAGAAACCTGATATATGCATGCAGACTGAATCAAAATTTGCAGACTGCAAGGAAATGTCAAAAACTACATTGCACATTTAAGTTACCAGATTCGGCAGAGAACCACTTGCAAGGACAATTAGATTTCCCATATAAAGTTTTGGAAATTATATGATTCTATTTGAGATGGTCGTGATAGAGAAAGCTCTAGTGAGCGTGATTCTACACACACAAACACATAAGCCATCCAGCAACATAAGACAAACCTTTCTACCATCAGCACGCCATGATTGAAATCCAATCCAAGGTCGCTTGTGAATGTTGTCCACCCCATGGGCAATAGAAAACATGCCTCCAATCTCACAAAGGGTATCACGGTAGTGTGTGTCATTCAAGAGAGGTAGCCGGCCAACTGCATCCACGTCATCTGATGTCAATCTACGGGTGCTTGTAGACTGACAGAATTTGGAAAAATTAGAACCAACATAATTACACATTTTAATGCCAAATAAAGATATAAAAAAGAAAAATAAACTGTTATGAAGGCAATCTGAACTAAGTAATCAACAGCAGGAGAAAAAAGCGAGTTCAAAACTCTTAAAATAAAATTTAATTTTGATTAAGTGCTCTTAACTGAAGAAGGACAAATACAGAGAGTGACCACTGATAAAAACAACTATAGCTACAATCTGGCTTAGAGAAACTCACAAGGCTTAACCCGCGGTACAAAGAACCATGGTGTAGAAAAGGCCAAGCCCCAGCTCCATTGTAGATCTCATAAATGCATAATGGCTGACCTGTTCTTTCTAGCTCTCCTTCATCCCTTTCATTTATTTCAAACTTAAGCTTCTCTGTTTTACGAGCATTACGATATATATCATCCCATAAACCTATGTCTTTTTCCGTTCTTTCCTCAATCTACATCATAAAACAATGCTCTATTTTAGCTTCCTCAAAAAATAAAATGCTAAAAAAAGGAAATACAGAGAAAAATATCAAAATAAAATGAAGAATGACAAAGGGGAAGAAGCGACTAAACAATATGCCATATTGCAATAAATGGCCATACCTCCTCCATTTCTAGCCTCTCAACTTCTTCAGAGCTTTCTATTTCCCTCAATATATCCCAGTCTAACTCAGTTGGAAAATCCTCCGCCAGAATCTCGGATTCATTCTGAGATATATTTTTTGAAGGAATGAGGTTGGTCATATCCTCCTCAAGGTCATACACGATACTAAGATTTTCCATGCCACGTTTATGTTCTATTTCTTCCCAGAACAAATCCCACTCCCAAGCAGCCGGTTTAAGCTGAAAAAGCTGATGAATGTTGCCAAGCAGCAGTGCATCTGAAGGGAAACTGAGGAAATGTTCCAACAGCTTTGCATAACCAATGATGCATTCTGGTGCCAGCATGTTCCTAGCAAGCAACCTCCCAGAGTGACCAATAGTATGTGCAGATTTAGAGAGTTTTGTTTCTGATATTAAAAGAGAGAAAGCTCTCATCAATTCTTCAGGCTTATGCTTAGGAAAAATCATTCCATGCACTCCATCAACAACCTGAGAATTAACAAACTTCTTTACAAAGGTAAAAACAGAATGCAAAAAAAAAAACTCCACACTTCAGCTAATACTTCAGCTAAAAGGACAACCAAACTAGCCCAGCTGAATAAACTCACATATTTTTTGATGATAGGATAGTCAGGTGCAATTACAGGGATTCCAAACGACATGGCTCGTGTAAGTAATTGAGGAAAACCTTGCTCATGTTGGGAAGAACCATAGAGAACAATGTCGGCCATTAATAAAAGACTATTCACATCATCATTTATGCCATAGTGCCTTAAAGAACCATGATGAAGTCCCAGACGAGTAGCAATTTCCTGTAAAAGGATGACAGACAGCTTGGAGTTCGGAGTTCAGAGCCAAAATGATAAATCTATAAAAATAAAACAAGACGTGTACAGTTGAATAAATGGATCATGTAATGCAGAATTGTGATTTCACCTATTATGAGAAAAAGCATCTAGATAGCACAAACAAAAACCCAAACTAAGAAAGGTTAAAATTGAATTCTAGCAGTATTCATGGGTAAATGAGAAAATATCAAGCCACACAAGACCATATTCATACATGACCATCAGTTTGGAGCACTAATAGAAAAACAAACACTTCCCGATTCCAATAGAAGTTCCACCCCAAATAGACAAATGACAATGTACTGATTCATCTTGTTCTATATGTTTTTCCCTTTCCCCAAATATACAAATGTACATAACTCACTTATTCATACCAGAAGCATATGTATGTGTGTGTTTTTACATTACCTGTATATATCACAATACGCCAATCAAGAGTTGTATACCTGTATAGTATCATCATGTCCATTGCTGGAATTTCCACATAAGAAGACAAACTTAAACAACTCTCTGACATCTTCTCCCCTGCCATATTTAATTAGCAGAGGTTCTATATCGTGTAATGCCAGAGCGTAATTCCACGATAGCTCATTGTAGAAGAAAGAACTCCCAACAACCATCACAAGCAAATCCTCTACACTGAACCCATTGTTTTTCCTTAACTGAAATTTGGAGTGGGTTCTACTATAGCTTTCGGCAGCCCACACATCTATGGGTGATCCAGGAATCACAAAGAAGTTTCCAGTGTCAAGCACATTGTATAGCATCTGATACAGGAAGGACAGAAACTGAGAAACATCACAAGAATGCCTCAAAAAAAACTACTAAAGATAGCACACACTTGTGTCAACATAAAATGGAAAATTTACCGGCAAAGAATAATCTGGAAACACGACAATGTTAGCCCTACTGAAAGTTTTCTTCCAATAAGAAATAAGATGATCCCTGCCCATGTCCTCGTACAGTGGAAGGCGTCTTGCGAGAGTATCCTCTTGAATAATCCATATCAGAGGCACAGAGCAAAAGGGCTCCTGCATAAGGCTGCACAAATATAAAGCTCACTAGCATCTCAAACTAAGTAATAAATGATCTCACATATCCATGAATCATGATTTATTTCTTTTTTTCCTTTTCGTCTTTCGTTGTGTTTTAAGGTGTGTATGTGTGTGCCTGTTTTTTTTTTTTTTTTTTTGTGTGTGTGTTAGTTTGTGCGTGTTGACCTTGGTTTACCAGTAATGCCAAACAATTGCATTTATTAACTTCTTAGGACAAAAGGCCAAAAAAGAAGAATATGATCATTCATGGTCAAAATGTTAGACATGCAACCTACAAATCCTTTACAGCCAGGAATATATCACGTGTCTGTTTAAAAACATTACTACTATAGCAAAATGATCGAAGAATGAAGAATAACAATTAAATTTTAACACACAATACTTTAATGTTTTATGCATGTCTCAACATGTGCATTAAATGCATGGAATCAATCATGTGTAATTTGCATTTTAATAAATAATAACAAAGGTTGCTTACCATAGAATAGATTTGAGGTGACAATTTTAATCCAATACCCCGCTCAACCCGCCCATAAATAAATGAGTTGGGTACCTATATTAATTAATGCTAATTCTAAATGGGTTGGGTAATAAGACTCATTTTAATTAAATGGATTATAATGGGTACCCAATGGGTTAAGTATTTATCTTTTTATTAAATAACAAAAGTAATAAAATCAAATACACATAGTAATATACCAAAAAATATACACACACTAATACACCAAAAAATACACATACATAAACTAATCCACTAAAACACACACACACTAGTACTCCAAAAACATACACACATGCACACTAATACACCCCCACCCCGACCCATGAACTACGACCCCGACCCTTTGTGTGTACTTTGATTAATATAATTTAGTGTATTAGTGTGTGTGTTTTAGTGTATTAGTATATGTTTATATTAAGAGTTTTAATTATTTTATGGGTTAATGAGTTTAATCCAATCCGTTATGATCCACCATTTATTAAGCGGGTTGAAAACGAAATGGATTTGTTTTACACCAAACCCATTTTGAACCGGTCCATAACCAGCCCAACTCGCCCATTTACCACCTCTAGAATGTATGAATGAATGGCAGATCAGTCGGGAGGCAGGAAGAACACGAATTGGAAGACAACTCATTTCTGTTGGTGTAAAAGTAATTCATGAGAAAGAAATAGAAGACCGCTTTAAGGAAAGGAAACGTCGGCAGTGAAAGTGAATAGCATTATGTTGATACCCAAGTCCTTAGGATTGTAGATTATTTTCCAGGTTGATATGCTTCTTTTGTTGATTTTCTGATTTTTTTAAGTCTTAAATATAAAGTGGTGCTTATTGTATGGTCCACCTGCGCAAGGATTGCAACCCCCCCCCTTCTCTCTCTCTTCCCCCTTATTTTGGTGCCCTGCAATGACTATTGGGATTTTGTATGGGTTTGAGAATGAATAATGCACTAGTATAGTGAAAAAATGACAGAAACGAGAGAAACAGAAACAATTTGTCAAATCATACCTTGAAATGGCCTCTTTTGCTTCAAGAGAGTCTACAATAACACCTTCATGGCTGCAGAAGTTAAGAAGACATTATTCATCAGTTACAAACTAAATTGTGTTACTTGACCATGTATGTCATGGGTAGAGTTGCTGACAATGCACAAAAACTTTGCGGAAGTAAGGACAACTAACTGTCAAGAAACTGCATGAGATGAAAGAGCAGACATACATTGACCAATCAATATGGCCATATCTCTCAGGACTTAAAATTGAGATTTGACGTCCTATTGACTCCCACATTGAACGAGCCACACCATCTTCTATGGCATAAATCTGTAACGAAATATTGTAAGGATGGATAAGCTTTTAAAGTACTCCAGTTGAAAAACACTGCACAGTATACATGACTCCAAAAAGGCTTCCATGAAAGCAATTGTAAGCTTGTATCAAGTACTGAAAAGAACCTCCGACTGCCACATTGAGTGCACCTCCTAACATAGCTAAATGGAAAGGTGAGTAGTTCAAGTTCAAGATGGGATATAGGTGTACATGTTATTACTCATCAAAAGAATAGAAAAATAACTGAACGCACAGATTGGTGGTGTAACTGCCATACAGTGGGCATGTTATCTTCTTCTTTTTTTATCAGAGGAATCTTATCAATTTACTGAACAGTGCAATAATAAGGCGTCAATGTAAACTAAACCTTTTTTTATGTTATACATCACACTAAAAGCTACAAAACTTTTGGAAGTTGTGCTTCGACTTGGGCTTGTTGGTCTTCTGGGGCTCTTGTGACCGCGTAATGATGTTGGGTAAAGTATGTTAAAAAATTTGCATATATTACCTTGTGTGTGTTCAATAAAAAAAAAAACAAAAAACAAAGCAATTGTCAAAATGCAGAATACCAGAAAACAATTAGTGAAGGACCATTTTAAGATTTCACATAGTCTTTCATTATTGCGTGTGATGAAAGATCTAATTTTATTGTTAATATTTTTCTGATTGATGGATTTGATTACTCAAAAAGCGATAGGATACAAATAAGTTATATATATTGACGAAAGCCTCCATTTCCACAGGGCATCTAAATACATATAAAGAAGTGTGATGCAAAAACGTAAAAATGTAACTGCTTTTGACAACAATGTTTTAGCAACAAACTAAGAATATTAACAACTACCACCGATCAAACTATATGTATTTGCCTCATTCCCAGAAAACAACTTCTTAAAAACATCAAAAAGTTATGAGAACAAATTACCTTGATCATATAGCCAAGTTTGTGTAAGTTTCTCACCACCGTAAACAGCATCAATGATCGTGGATCTTTCTTCATGTTTCCTAAGATCTTACATTTAGCAACAAGCCGCTATTAATAAATGAAGTTGCAACACTTCACCGCACAAGCTTGCGTATGTACGGATATATAAAGTTCATATACATGCATGCAAAAGATGATGGGTAAGAAGCATGAATATATAGATAAGTGAAGAAAGAAAAGAAATAATTTGCTTCCCATCTGGAGAGCGCTGGTGAAGATGCAAAGCTAGGACTTATGTAATGATGTATTCCATCGAGAGAAAAGAGGCTTAGTAAGAAGGCCGACCAGGCAAAGTATGTTTTAAATGATGCTAATGCAATTTAGACACCACATAGTGATTGATGTAAGTTACGTTTAATACTGTAATTTGAAAAGATGTCACTCTAAGTTACGTTTAATACTGTAATTTGAAAAGATGTCACTCTAACTTCAATGTTATTCAACTTCAACAAAGATTTTGAACCTATAATCACTTGCATGCATGGTAACAAAATAGAAGTGTTAAAAGTGCTTCAACATTATAGGTTTTGTACACAAGATACTATTATTATTAGAAAAGTTAAGGATTTAGACCTCTCAAACTTTTATTCTGATTTCTTCCATACTAGATCATATTTTTCACATGGACCTCACCATCAAAGACTAGATTACTTACGTCTGAACTATCAAATTCCACAGTTTGTATTCTTTACACAGACCTTTCCATCATAGGTGGATTACTTATGGATGTCTAAATATCAAAATCCACATTTGTGGCGCCACATATATACTTCAATTCATAGCCAGAGCACTCACTTCCACGGACATTAAGCGCATTTTATAGAACATCACAATTTCTATCCACATATCAAGAACCAATGACCGCAATAAGGCCTTACGACATGATTTAAAAATCATCAAATGTTTCTTACCATTTAAGTGTTCAGAATCATAAACTACAGCTGATAAATAGAAAATATTATGCTAGATTAAGGAAAATATTGCACTTATAAAAAATTAATGACCAATATACTTCAGGTAGATATCACTAAACATTTGGGAAACAATCATCTCAAGAAAAAATGAGATGTACTGCAGTCATATAAGCAACATTTAAGCATGTTTCTTATTCCCTTGAACTAAATATTATGTGGAATATTTATATAGAGATAAAATAGATAATAACATAGACCAATAAACAATTATTTGTTGACATGTCTTCTCAGTGTTCCTGTTCTACTTCTTTAGATTTTTCCATGTCTAAGAGTTGATGTCGTGTCCATGTCGTTCGTCAAGGTTCGTGCTCTCAGATCACATTACAGGTACAATTAACATATTTGGGTTTTTCTAACTCAGCATATCCTTTTTAGGTATCAGCAGGCAAAAGAATGAAATAAAAGAATAAAAAATTCCGTTTTGGACTTGATCCAAGTTACATAAAAGTGTTTTGGTACTTGATACAGTGGTTTTGTACATCAATATATGAGCATAATACATAGACTGGTCCACAATACATATCTAGCTATGAACTTATAAACGTTGATTTATCCAATCTACTGCGTATAAAGACCAGTGTCTTTAATCATTGACTCATCTTTTTTGTTCAAATATGCAACGGAAGATTTGACTTCCAGTTTCTGGAATGTGTTATTCTCTCTCACATCCTCTCTTTCTCAAATATGTGAAAGCTTGGAAAATTGGTACCTACATTTTCCGGTCATTTTTTTTGTTATTTCGAACCCACCCGGACCTTATTTGACAATTTCCCAAGGGACCCCTTATTCTAATTTATATCTTACCACAGATGATGCATCTACCCTTATAAGTGGCTCAGATGAATTTCTCTCGAACTGTTTATACAAAGAATTCAATGCTGGTCCAGCTTCCTATCAAAAAAAGATGCCACTAAGTCACTAACTCTCCAACCGAGTTGTAAGGTCTAAATTGGATGCCATCAGCCTTCACGTAAAAAAAATGGGAGTAGGACAAAATAATTTGCTCCTAAGTAGTTGAAGCACCAACTAAAATCTGCATTTCTACGGGTATAACTCTCATTATTACTTACTAATGAGAAAAATAAAACATTTACATAACTAAATGCCCCCCTCTTGCTCATGATTCCAAACTATAAGTCTAAAACAGCAATTATGTAAAAACATGGGAAACTTTATCAAAACCTAGGAAGCACGGATACAGACACAGGTGTCATATCCGATACAATACGATACGATATGGACACGGGGATACGACCAAGTTAAAAAATATGGGACACGGGTACGGCAAGGATACGGCTATTAAAATAATATAATATATTTTTTAAGTAATAGTAGAGTTGTAATATATTAAAAATAAAGCATATATTATAACTATATTAATAATAAGACTTAGCAAATATTATTTTTTTAATTAAAATTGAAATAGATCAAATTAAATATCCACTATTTTTATCAAACATCGTTACATCTATTAACATTCATAGCTTATAAGTTACGTAACAAAAAATATATTAAAAAAAGTAAATTTTTAATAGTTAAAAAAAAAATTTAATAAAAAAATTATTCGCTGTATTCTAGACTTATCCTAACCGTGTCCTAGATATATCATTGCCGTGTCCTAGACGTATCCAAACCGTGTTCTAGACATATCCTTGTCGTGTCCTAAAAATATCTTTGTCGTGTCCGACTGAGTTCACTATTTAGGACACTTTTAGCCGTGTTGGACAAGTGTCCCGCCGTGTCGTGGCCATGTCCGTGTCCATGTCAGACATGTGTCCGATACTACCACGGCACTCCTGTGAGAAGTATCCATGCTTCCTAGATCAAAACTGAAAATAGTTTCTCAATTGAGTTTCATGTACGGGGGGATAAATAAGCATATACTGCAGTAAAGTTAAAATCAACTCTCTAGTTTCAAAAATGAAAAGCACAGTACTCTCACAACCTAAACTGACCTTGTTCATTACAAACCTTCATACATATTTCTTGTGCTGCTACTAATGTAAGATTTCACTTTAACTTCCATATTAGCAGCAAGTAATACTATAAACTGATTAAAATCCCTCCCAGTTTGCAAACTTTCAAAACTTAACAGTTAATCAAGCTATTGTGGTGAGTCAGTCCTGAGCAACTACATATTACACCAAATGAAAATCTACAATTATCTTTTTAGACCTCCAGAGACACACTAGTTCCATATATTCCAAAAACCACAATGTTACTTAACTTCAACATAAACTTTTATGCTGTTCTTAATTTATATAGTTTCATCAATCATGCAGTCCCATATTTTCTCTCTCATTTCTCGAATTATTATAGATTTTGACAATATAGCACCACGACAATGTCAAATCACTTCTATTCGCAATGTGACATTGCAATTCTCAATTACAGAAAAAATTTAACTACTTCAATTCATTAAGATCCATGTTGATAAGGAGTCTGAGAAAGCAGAAAGGTTTAAGGTTGACAGCCACTCTACTCCACTAAGCACTGACACAGCCGTAATTATTGCTAGTTCAAATCAGAAATAATAAATCAAGAATATAGTTATTTAACAATCAATATCAAATTATACAAGACACAAATTCAGTCATTAATATCTCATATTAGAACACTCACAAGTCCAAGTCTCGGCCGTCGACCGCCGATTTTGGCCTGCCTCCGGAACCTATCCAGACCGCTTTTCAATACAAAACTGCTATTCTTCCACGGCACAAACTTCAAAGAACTCCCGTACTTCAGCTCTTCCCTCTCAATTTTACTGCTCTCATTCCCGTGCCAAAACATAGACATGAGATAGTTCTGCCAGCCTATCGAAAACAACGCGAAGGCGAAAATCACGAAAATCATACAGAAGTAACAGCACAAATTTCCTCTACACGGAGATCTTAATAACTTTTGAGTCCACGATCGATCGTGGTGGTGATGAGGTCGGTTATTTCTCAATTGCCGATCCGAGGAGGACGCAGTCTGCCTAGTGTTGTCTTGTTTGGAAATTGAAGCAGTAGTGTTAGGGTTTCGTTTGGAGAGAAAACGGTCGCGGATCGAGTGACCGATGCCGGAGCCGGAGCTGGTGGCATTGTCGTCGTCGTCGACGTGATCGGGACTCGCAGAGTTGCGGACCATCTCGATTGGCGAATTGACTCAGTGAGAGAGAAATCGAAGAGGAGAGAGAATACAATTGGATTGGGAGAGAGTTTGGGTTGGCATAAATGAAATGTGAATGATACGTTAATCTTTTTGAGTGTGTGTGATTTATTTATTCAGGCGTGTGAGTGTGTGTGTATAATTCTTGAATCTGTTTGTGTGTGTGTATATAATTCTTGAATCTGTTTTTATGTGTGTGTGTGTGTCTGGAATTTGTTTGCGAGTGTGTGATTTATTTGTGTGTGTGTGTGTGTGTGAAGTTTCTCATGCTTGTTGGCGTTGGTCGGTGTGAGTGATGAGGGATGAGACTTTGGTCACTGTGCTTCTCTTCACGCGCCTTCGTGGAATTCTTGCTAAACTTGGAATAAACAAAATGCCTGATCAAATATCTTGTGAAAAAAATCTCATTTTATCTCCCGAAAGATATAAAAAATTTTAATTTATCCCTAAAATAATTAATTTTATCATATTATTCCCTCAAAAATATAATAAAATTGAAATGTGATCCAAAAACATTGTAATATGCTTCCAACAATATTGCAATTAAAACGTCTTTCTAGTTTTTTTTAAAATTAGTCAACATTTTGGATGGAAGAACTTGTCAAATTTTGTTTACAACCTTCCTCCCCTAATTTGGATCATGTATTAATTGAGGGAAAGAGAAATGAAACTTAAACGAAACTATTTTCCCTTGTTTGATTGTCAAAGAAAGTGGGGAGAAAAAAAAAACAAAGGTACATGAGTATAAACAACACTATTGAAAAATTATTTTTTAACATTATAGAAATACGATACGTGAATACTTATGGATTTTCTTTCTCTTTATTTATATAATTAATGGCTACAAATGATTTAAATTAAAAAAATCTTTGGATAATAACGAATATACTATTAAACCAAAATATACAATACATTCACCAAATCACTATCACAAGTTTCATATATATACTATTAAAAGGAAAAGGAAGGAATCCCAACTTCAAAAAACATATGCATAGGGGGCATATATAGGGTAAATTATATTTTGTACATTAAAAGATTTAAAAATTATCATTTTATACCCACAAAGATTAAATTTTTTACATTAAACCCTTAGGACTAGTTTAGTAGAAGTATTATGAGGGCATAATATTTTGTTTGGTAAGTAAACTTGATATCGTACTAATTTCAAAAATGTATATTGATCATATATTTATCGTATATTTTTTATACGATATAATTGTATTATGAAGGTATTTTAATACCACAAATAAAGATGGTATTATAATCCAACTCAAACTTATTATTTTATACATTTACTCTTATAACCCTCCCAATTGATAAAATCAAGTTATCATCAATGTAACAAACACTGATTAAGGGTATTTTTGTTAATTCAACATTAATATGAAGAAATAATTTCCTAATCAAACAACTGATTGTATTAAATAACTATTATCCAATGTTTATGTTGTGTATTGTCAAATACTAGATAAAAATTACGTAATTCTATTTAATCTTATATTTTATCCATCTGTATTGTATTAGACTGTATTTTTTTATCCAATTCATCCATTTTTAATACGGCAATCAAACAAGCCCCTCAATGTATTAAAAGTTTTTCAATGTGGCCCTTCCGTTAATTTTTGTTATTTATTTTGTCAACATCAATATGGTGAGTTTTGGCGAAATAAACAGCAGGAAGTAAAAGAAGGGTCACACTACAACGCTTTTAAGTTCCATGGAGTTGTGAGTCAACCACCATAACTTGAACTAGTTTAAAAACATATATTCTAATATATATATATATATATATGTCATCAAGGGGTAGTGATGGAATCAAATGTCCTAATCATATAGAAAGTTAGGGCATGACCAAGGGGATTTGCTTTTCTGAATGATACCATTTTTGAATAATTCAGAAATCTCTTTTTTGTAGAATTTCATTACTTCATAGTTCATTTGGATAGGTCTTGATTTAGTTGGGATGTCTTTCTCACTAAATTCTTTTATATATGGAAGTTTTACCATATGGTTTTTCCTGTGCCAAAATGTTATAGGAAGGTTAGAACATACTCCAGCTTCTAATTTTGCTTTAAATTGATCAATCTTTTTAATTAAGATTGGATTAGTTAACTGTTCTTGAATTTTTTTATGATTAATTTATTCTTTGAGAAATTTAACTTGGTTAGTTTTCTTATTAATTAAATTAAGATACTTAGAGATTGAGTGATATTTAAGTTATCTTAATTTCTCAACTTCTAGTTTGGTTATAAACTTAAAAGTTACTAATTGATCAAGTGGCTTGGTTGTTAATCCATTTGTATTAGTTGTAAATTGATACAACAAATATACAAAAGGTAAACCAAAGATTACTTTATTTGTCATATCTTGTATTAGGATGAATGATGTTTTAAAACATACATTATCTTGACAGATATGAACACTTGGTAACTTGTACTTGACATTCATTTTACTACCATTTGCTGAGTTAAGTCTTTCAATGGTTTTTTGATAGTACTTAGTGGGAATAATGTCTTCCTGGATGAAGTTTACATCTGCATCAGTGTCAATTAAGGCGATGGTTTCTAATTCAAAATCATTATCAATGATAATTTTTATTTTAGAATGCCATTTTTGAAAACTAATCTTATTGACTAAATTTATCCTATAACTATCATTGGTTTGGAAACATCCATCGTGAGATGGCATGTTCGTTACACCTAAAGATTTCACTAGAAAGGTGGAGGTTATGGGTATCCCCTGAAAGTCTGTTCCATCTGAACATTCTGTGTCAGATTGTTCATTAACCTGTGGCTATTTTTTCGAATCAAAATCCTTTAAAGTGCCAAAGCTATCTGTTGTTAAAAGACTTAAAGCTTTTGCAAGTTTTTTGTTTTGAGCTTTTAAATCTTTTATTTCAGATTTTAATTCGTTAACTTCTTGCTGAAGATCTTGTAAGGTGACTTCTTTCTTTTTCTCATTACTAATTCTTTCCAGTATTTTGTTAAGACTGATTAACTGTTTTTGATTCAACAAGGAAGGAATGCAGCAGCACTATTAACCTTAAGAGATGCTAGGTTTCTTGATTATAAACCCAGTATCCTTGGGATAATGGAAACTAGTCTCCATAACGGTCCAGTTTACTTCAATTGCTTCCTAGACTTTCCTTTAAGTCTAGAGTGTCCTAATACACCCATGGTTTTAACCTTAGGAATAAAACTCTCAGGAGACATAGTAAGATTGGTTGAAGAAGCTAGATCAATAGTATTAATCTATAGGATTTTATTATAAATACATAACCACAAACCTGAATGTGCATGCATTAAAGAAAAGTCCAAAAGATAGTACTTTATTGATCCAAAAGACAAGTTAAAACCTTAAAGAGAGAGTTTAGAGGTAGTATAATAGATTACTTAAAATAAAACATCAATTCAACTTACGTCTTCAATATAAAAACGTATGTCCAAGTAACGTGTTATGTGCAATTTTTCGTTCTAACCTTGGTATATAGTCTTTTAAGTTTTATCGCTTTCTTCAACCGAATGCTACTGTAGTAAGGATAGGATGAGCACAAGGAAAAAAAGAGATTCGTTATATTAAATGGCGTTAGTTCAAGTGACTTTTTTTTTGCTTCGATTTTTCTTAGATTTGGAAATGAAAATCAATTAGAACAAATTTTTAAGTTCGATCTATCCAAAAAAAATTATGTCCAATTATAAAAATCGATGATTGGGGAATGAGGTTTATTGCAAAATCCAAATAAGTAGTTGTTGAGATGGTTTTTTATGAAAAAATAAAATAAAAATAGTGAGAGTAATATTACATAAATTTGAGAGTAAATGAATTATCTATATCTCATTCCATTGTAACCTAGTATGTTGTTTTTTCCTGGACAAATGCACGTCAAAGCCTTGATCAACCCCCATTTCAATGCTTCATGACATGCGAGAGCTTTAGCGTGAGAGATCTAGTTACAGTTATGTTATGTTGTGTCGTGTCTTTAATTTATCTAAATTATGTTATGTTAAAATTTACTTAATTTTATAATCGATATATTTATAGCTTTTCCTCTAAAAAAGTTGACTCTATAGCGGGATAGGTAAAAATTTCCTCTGAAAAAATTTACTTCTCATTCTTTTTATTCCATCTCATTTTGGGATAGGTAACTTAGACTAATCTAATAAGTGAAGTAGTCGTCATTTGTTTAGTTGGCTTGGACACCAACCCACCCATTTTGTCTTGCCCTTAATGGAATGACTCTGTTAGTTACTTTGCGCCCCGCCATGAATTCCCACATCCATTTTCTTGTGCTAGATCAAATTGGTGCTATGGATAATACATGTCTAATCGAATTTGCGACGACCCTAAGGAAAAAAACTCAACCCTATTAAGGATGCATTTGTGATAACTTAGTACTTTTTGAAATTAATATTTCTCAAAAATATTTTTATACAAAAATACTTTCATTAAATAAACACAGTTTGAATGCTCGAACAAAAAAATACTTAAATAAAATTTTTTTTATCAAAAAGTGTGTGATAGTGGTGGTGGCGTTGGGGGGCTGGCGATTATGATGGGATAGTGGTGGGGGGGGGCAATGAACGATGTGGTGATGGGGTAGTTGTAGGGGGCAGTGGTGGTAATGACAGGCGGTGGGGGGTGATGATTGTTGTGGTGGTGGTGGTGGGGTGGTGGTGGTGGTGGTGGCGGTGGACTTGTGGTAAAGTATTTTGTGGAGAAATAATTTTAACGAAATAAAAGTTACTTTTTTTATGTTTACTTATTTAAATGGTTAAAATACTTTTCACTTATTAGAAAGTAATTAAAATAAGTAGTTTCAAGCACTATTTTCTTTTTAACATGTTTATAATAAATCATAAGTTCTAAAAACACTTTTGAAAAATCATTCCAAACACACCCTAACTTTATGACGATTTTGCGAGGTTCGTATATCGTGGCTTGTGAGAACTATGATTAGCTGATATAAGGGTCACTGACTTCATGAATTATATTTTTCAGCATTCTTTTAGGATGCGTTTAGTAACGTTTTTGTTTTTATGTTTTTTCTTTAAAAAAAACAAAACTAATTTTTATTTTTTTGTGATAAAAAAATAACATATTTGGTAGTCATATATATTCAAAAAATCATACAAAAAAAAATAAAAAATATGTTTGGCATTACATATTTTGAGTAATATTTTATTGGTATTATTTTGGTTAATATCTTAATCCCAAATCCCTCAATTAAAGATGTCTTAATTAGAGATGTTCTTGTTGACACACACACATATTTACATAGACGAGAAGCTTTTGCACACACACACACACCCACCCCCACCCCACAGACGAGATTCATATATACAACACATACACACACACAAAAACACAAATAAACACACACATGTAGATTTATGTCTATATATATATATAGACATAGATCTATGTATATATATGGTATAAAGTTAAGGAAAAAGGGGAAAATGAACGAGAGAGACGATGTAGGTTTCACCTTCATCTTTGATTTTGATTTTGTCTTCGTCTTCGTTTTCGATTTGTCTTTGACTTCTTCGTCTTCGTAACTGGGTTTAGAAAATAGATGAGTGAGAGAGAAAAAATGAGTGAGAGAGAGAGAGACAGATGAGGGAAAGAGACGAAAAGAAGAGGAAAAAGGGTTTTTTATAATTGGCATAAAAAAACTTCATTTTGTTGCTAATGAGATTCGAAGGCTATATCTCATTAATTGGTAATGCGATGCGCGTGTTTTTAGTTTTGGATGTTTTCAAAAACATCATTTTTGGTGTTTTTCAAACGCAACCTTAAATATTTAAGTAGCACTTTGAATATCCAAAAAAAAAAAGTAGCACTTTGTTTCTACTTTCACTTCTTTAATTTTAAAATAAATTGAAAATATTTTGGTTGAAGGGGTCAATTTTGCAAGGGATGTGACTCGAACTTATACGGGCATTGTGAATACTTTTCAATGCACGAACTCGTGTGCTTGAGTTAGAACCCACTTTGTTGTGATAAGTTCCAACCACATCCCAATCAAAAAAAATTTTCAACCCTAAATTTAATTTGATTTATTGATTTGTTAAAAAAAAACTGTTGACTATATGTTGATTGAAGGGGGTTAAACCTCATAATTACACGTGACATGACATTAAATGCGCTCACGTGACGTTGACAAGACATGACACGCGATCAAAAATCCTCTATCAAAACTTTTTTAACTAAGCCAAGCTAATTAGAGGTTCGACAATGGATGAAAAAGATCGGCTCTCTTTATAACCGAACTCATCAGTTTGTTCAACTAAGCAATGATTGAGCTTGACTTGTACCAAATCGAGTTCATCAAAGTGTTCGGCACGACAATTGAAGAGATCTATTTGTGCCAAACTAAATCCCTTAATCTGTTCGGTAAAAATCAAGTGTGCTCGGCATTTGATATGATTGAGCTGTTTTAGATAATAAACAGAGGATAAAAATTCGCCTATAACTTAGGCAATCAAGATAAGCGAATCAGAGAAATTGAAGATATAAGGAGAAAATAATAGAGAAATATCATCAACTTTTCAAACTGAATCACTGAATTGGAGGAAGGTGTACCACCTTGAATCAAGAATTACGGAAACCCTAAGGGGATGTCCAATTATAAAAAGCAAAAAGAGCCAAGAAGAAATGTACGTTGAACTCTCTTGGTTTTAGTACAATTCTTTCTGTTCTATTACTGATTTAAGCATCGAAGTGCATTCGATCAAAACACTTCGATCTTGGATAGTTTGTTCATTTTGCAGGCAAGAGATTAGAAGATTATTCAGACTTCTTTCCCAGAAATCATATTACAAATTCACGTGTAGAGGTATCACTAATTTTTTGGCTTCTACATTGATACTAAAATATAAATTTGAAAAACATTAGGGTGATATATGAGAAAATTTTAGAGATTGTTGAAATATTTTAAGTTTAAGTCCCCTAAAAATTTATATATTTTTATAATTTACTCGATTTATGTAATTTACATGGAATTTGTATTTTATCTATGAGTTCACAATTCTCCCTAACTATGAGTGATAGTTTATGACACGATATATAAATATAATTAAAATTCATTCAAAATTAGTGGGTTAATTTCGAAAATCATCTAATCATAGTTTTGAAAATGAATTAAAACCCGATAATTAAGTTAATGTGTTTTGTAACGTTTTCGTTTTTATGTTTTTTTTATAAAAGAATAGAACAAAGTTTTGTTTGTTTTTTTTTGTGATAAAAATTAAAAATATAAAACATGTTTGGTAGTCATTTATATTTTAAAAATTTTGAAATAAAAAATAAAAAATCTATTTGGTATTATACAAAAAATTCACCACCCAACCTCACTGACCATCCAAAACCACCATAGAAACTCACCACCCACCCCCCGCCACCATAGCCACCAAAACCCACTATCCACCCCAGGAACCCACTACCCATCCTTGAAACCCACCACCACCCATAAAACTCTCCAGCAGAACCTATCAAAGAAAGACGAGAGGGAAAGAGATAGAGGTAATGAGAGAGAGAGTGCTGACTTGAGAATTAAGAGCTCCTTTGTAACTCTTTTGTCGCTGGCCTCGTGAGATAAATGAACGAGAGAAGAGGAAAAAAACAATGTTTTGACAGTGAGAATGAACCCCCCCCCCCCCCCCCCCTTTTTTTTCTTCTGATAATGGAGTAAGAAGGCTAAACCTTATTAAATGGTTTAAAAGGGCGTGCGTGTTTCCGTTTTCTTGTGTTTTTAAAAACAATTCTTTTGATATTTTTAAAATTTGGGATTATTTACAAAACAGACCAATCAAAAAATAAAAAATAAAAACACTCTCCAAACCAATGTTATCGGACCGACCATCAAACCGACGGGAAACCGAGTCAATGGTTCATTGGTTCAACCGTTGAATTAACTAGTCGGATTGGTTATATAATAAAAAAATAAATTTTTTTAAATATAATAATTTAATTAAAAATATAAATTTTTTATAAAATATATTATATATAATTTGTTATAAAATTAACACCATAAACACATAATCCTATAAAAAATAAAAAAAAAGGTAATTAAAGCTTTTACCGGGCCTGCCTTTTTGCCTTTTCAAGGCAATGATATTCTTTAAATTTAAAATCAACAACAGAAAACAAAATAACAAATGAACCGGTCACTGTGTTCAGTTTTGTCATTTGTGTCGTGTATGTGAGAGAGAGAGAGAAGAGAAGACTTGCAGGCAGAAGGAAGGAGAAGGGAGAGAGATCGAGTAGTTGGCTCGATTGCCTGCTTTGAGTCTTCTGCTGCTGCTGCCTGCTGTGGTGTTGCTGCTATGGTGTTGATGCGGTGAATTCGGAGAAGAGAAGACAGAAAAAGGACGGCTCGATTTGGGGCAAAATTGTCCTAAAAAATTGATTTTAATTTTTTAAGTTCCTTAAAATTTGAACCGCAGGTTCAAATAACTCATCCGATTCTCCGTTTTTTTATAAAACCGTCCGGTTTAATTTCTTATACAGTCTAACTCAAGAATCGGACCGGCTTATGTCTCAGTTCACGGTCCAACCCGTTCAATCAACAGATCCGATCCGATTTTAATAACACTACTTTACACGCATTATAATTTTTTTTTTTAGCAAAAATTGAAAAAAAAAAAAACAAAAAAAAAATTCAAACAGCTGGTTACAAAATACTACCTTACCCGAAATTTGGTTACCCGATTACGAAAATAGACAGACGGGGCAGTACTGGATTGGGTTTACCCCTACCCAACACGCAGATTTGAATGAAACCCTTAAACCTTACCGGGCCTACACCTCCTGCGTTAAGAGTACCTCGAGTCCCTCCTCTCCGACTCTCTTCTGTGAACTAAGAATTCATCGTCTCCGGTCTCGTCTCTCCTACCTGTTATTCCTGGTGATTGGCATTCCAAATTCTCGGTAAGCTTCTATACTATGAAATCTTTTCCCTATATGAGCCTCCTCTTGTTTCTAAAATTAAGCTAAAGATAAAGGAAATTTTCGTTGCTTAGCTTGTATATGTTCTGTCAGCTTTCCCCTTTTAGTTAGCACTAGAACCGACCATGTGGTTTTGCTGCATGTTCTTGCTCATGAACTCAAAACATTGTTGTGTTGATCCTATGATTTCTGGCAAAACAGCAAAGCCCATATGTTTTTTTTGCTAATTTTTGATATCCTATGATTTGTGGCAAAACATCGAAGCCCATATGTTTTTTTTTCTGCTAATTTTTGATTGTATTGCGCCAATAATCAACACTCATTAATATTATCATTGCAGTTAATATATTCTAAACTGTTAAGCGGTCAGATGGGGGTAAAAAGAGACAATGAAACTCTCAGCAACGTAACTCCTGCTATCGAACAGGTATTCAATGATTACAATCCTTCGTTTTCGTATCTTATTGATACAAAAATGGTTATTGAATGTAGCAGTTCGCGGTACGCTGTTTTGCCTTGTTATCATCACGTTTACTGCAATTATGTCCCTAAACAAAGAACCACATGATGGTCTGTCACCCCTCTCTGAAAGGGTTTGAAGAATCCTCCTTATCATCATCTAGAATAGGAGATTTTAAAGTTTTAACTGTTTGGATTAACAAACACTGGAATGTTATTTTAACTAGATGAACATTAAGAAGGGATGGAGCTACTTGTACAGGTGTGGATGGGGGCACTTGCCTTCCACTGACTTTTGAGGAATTATTCATTTGTACTGTTGTGGAAACAAAGCTACTTCAATTTAGTACATACCCCCCCCCCCATTAGTTTTTGAAGATTTGAATAGTTGCCATAGTCCTTTTTGTCTTCTGTTAGTTAGTGGTCCACTCGTCCCTAATCTACTAGAATAAATATTTTATTTTTGGGCCGAGTAAAACGGATGTGAAACTCCCTAACTTATATATATTGACCAAATATAATTCATTTGTTATTTAATACACTTCATCTTATTTTTTGAAAATAATTGTATAGTTGTCCCTAATTCTTTTCTGGTAAGTTAGTGACTTGTAAACCAGTATCATTCGGATATATGCAAATGGTGAAATACACTAACCCAAAAGTGATCATGCTCTTTCAAAAAAATCAATTTATCAACAAGATTAAAAAGACGTTGTTTATCATAGAATTAATCAATTGTAGATGATTCTTGGGATTTGAAACACTTGTTGTATTCACTTTAATATTTGATTGAGTTGTAATCTACTATGAAAAAAAATATTGTTTTTGTTGCTTTAACTAATTCACTTTAATTAATTCTTGGATATTGATATATTTCTCAGACTTAAATTTGGAAATTTTTTCTATGAAATTTGTACCCAATTTAGTTGTCTTATATATGGAGGTCTGGGAATTTTCTTTATACAATTTGGTGTTCATTTTTTCATTCATGTTTTTTGTCTTCTCTAAGATAGAATCCTTGCTCCAGCCATTAGGGTTGTACATAATTCACATGATTTCTCCACAGATATTTTATTTGTTTAGTGGTTTAATAATTGTAGTTACATATTATGCATGGTGGAAAAAATTTGTGTTGCAGGAGAATATGGCAGAGATGGATATGAAAGTTAAAAAGTACCTTAGAGGCGACGGTGCTAATTTGGAGGTATGACAATATTTATGACATTTAGTGTACTTATATCAGTTTTCCTCGCCCTGATGATTATTTGTACTTGTAGGCTTTACAAGATAAAAAGTTAAAAGGTCAGCTGGCTGTTAGGGAAGAGTTATATGGGAGATCTGCAAAAGCAGCTGCCAAGGCTGAGAAGGTGATTTGACAGATGGACAATTGATTAGCTTTGGTTATTTCTCGTACTGCATTACATTATTTGAAGATCTGGTTTCTGATGCTAGTAGTGATTGTATTTATTTGAATTTCTCGATTTTATTTTTGGGGGAGGGGGTTGGTAGTTTAATCTTATTTGGAAAAACATATTGCATAATGAAATGAGATCTAATGCAATTCTTTTAACTCAATCGTGCTAGTCTTTTGCTCATGTTGCTTCTATAGGAGAATGTACCGTATATGTTCTCATATATCCTGATGTGTTTTATTCAGTGGCTTATGCCAAGTGAAGGGGGTTATTTGGAGGCTGAAGGTATAGAGAAGACATGGAGAATCAAGCAGGAGTCAATTGCTCGTGAAGTAGATATCTTGAGTTCGAGGAATCAGTATGATATTGTCTTGCCAGGTTGGCACCTTCATTCTGATTGTTTCACTTACGTACCAATAGGAAATTTGTTAATGACCCATCTGCGAGTTGGAGGACCCTAATGCTACTCTTTGATTTGTACTTACTATGTCACTCCATGCATTGTTTTGATTCTTCACAAACCTTTGCAAAACATTGGTTGACTTGGTCTTACTAGTTCAGAACTTCCAACATGAACAAATGAATACTTCCAACAAAATGGAGGAAAAAATGAATAACTGGATCGTTTGCGTCTATGGGTGAGTTTACCAGAAAAATACATAGCCGATAGTGATCAAAAAGGTTCCCTACGGAAGAGAAACAATGAGAAAAAAAATACTAGATTTGTGTGTTGGTTTTCATATGGCAAGATCACATTCATCTGGGGATGGCTGGCTGGTATTGTATGAGAGCACAGGATAGAAACCTAATCTCGACAATTGCGGTAGAAAATATCAAACCATTTGTGCAAGTGATATCATTGTATTCCCTATTTTTTATTTTTGCATGTGATAGGTATGTGTTAATTTTAGAGGATTAACACAATATTAGAGAGAAACAGAGAGAGGTTAAAAACTTAATCTAGCTCTCATACATCACTTGTATTTATAGTTAACTCACAAAAATAAGAATTACACATAATACCCTAACACTATTAACAATTTACACATACTACTCTAATACTCTTAACACTCCCCCTCAAGTTGGACTATATATATCATATAATACAAGCTTGAAACAAATAACTGTAGGACGTGTACGACTCAATGCTTTGGTAAACATATCTGCAAGCTGATCTTCAGATTTCACAAATGGAGTCGTAATCTCCCCAGCTACTCTCTTGTCCCAAATAAAGTGAGAATCAACCTCAATATGCTTGGTTCTCTCGTGAAACACAGGATGACAGCGATATGGATAGTTGCCTGGATGTCACAGAATAACTGTAAAGGAAATTGAACTGGAAACTCAATTTCCTGGAGGAAGTGTAGTAGCCAAGTCAACTCACTCGTCGTATGTGTCATTGCCCTATATTCAGCCTCAGCACTGGATCTTGCTACCACGGGTTATTTCTTACTTTTCCATGAGACAACATTATCTCCTAAGAAAGTACAATAACCACTGGTTGATCTCCGATCAGAAGGAGAGCCAGCCCAATCAGCATCTAAGAAACCTTCCACTTTAAGATGTCCATTAGCTCGATATAACAGTCCAAGTCCAGGAGCTCGTTTGAGATATCGTAGAATACGAGTAACTGTCTCCCAATGTGGTACTCTAAGACACCCCATGAACTTATTTATTATACTGACTGCATAGGAAATATCCGGTCGAGTAATAATAAGATAATTAAGCTTTCCAACTAATCTACAATACTGATCCGGATTCTCAAACAATGCACCATCATCCATCAATAATTTCTTATTCGGATTCATAGGAACATCAATCGGTCCATAGGACCCAACATACCTGTTTCCTCAAGCATGTCAAGTACATATTTCCTGTGGGATAAACAAATACTTTGTTTAGATCGAGCCACCTCAATACCTAAGAAATACCTGAGTTTTTTCAAATTCTTAGTATGAAATCGATCCTATAAGAATATTTTTAACTTGGCAATCTCCTCAGAATCATTCCCAGTAATCACAATATCATCTACATAGACCACCAATAAGACATATTTAACATCTATTTGTCTATGAAACACAGAATGATCTGTCTGACATCGAAGAAGACCAAACTCTAAAACTGCATTTGAAAACTTACCAAATCATGTCTTAGGTGACTGCTTCAAACCATACAAAGATTTCTTTAACCGACATACACTCTTACCATACTCCCCCTGAGCAGTAAACCCAGGTGGTTGCACCATGTATACCTCTTCAACCAAGTCATCATGTAGGAAGGCATTCTTGATGTCTAACTGAAACAAGGGCCAATCAAGATTAGCAGCCAAAGAGATCAAGATATGAATATAGAAAATTTTGACAACAGGAGAACAAGTTTTCTTATAATCAACACCATAAGTCTGAGTAAAACCTTTTGTAACAAGTTGGGCTTTGAAACTCTCCACAGAACCATCTGAATGAAATTTAACAGTATATACCTAATGACAACCAACAGTTTGTTTATCAGGGAGTAAAGGAACGAGATCCCAAGTTCCATTATGATGTAAAGCATCCATCTCCTCCTCCATAGCTTTTCTCCAACTTGGATCAAATAAGGTATCCTGTAAATGCTTAGAAATAAATATAGCAGAGAATTGGAAAGTGAAACAGGAGAAGACAGGAGACAAGGCATCATGTGAAACAAAATGAGAAATGAGATGATTAGTAACACACGAACGAGTACCTTTACGAAGAGTAATAGGTAAAAAGTCTAAATTACTAGATGTACCAGGATTAGAAGGCGACAAGGAAGACGGTACGGGCACTTCAGTCGATGGGCGAAGACGGCGAGAGTAGACACGGAGAGGTAAAATAGATGGTGACACAGTGGGCAACGGAATGTCTGAAGATGAGGAAAGAGATGGTGGTACGGGAGATGATTCAAAGTCCAGATCCAAAGGCTGAGAAGGTGTTGAAAAGTATGGAATAGATTCTTCAAATGTGACATCGGTACTAGTAAAGTATCGGTGTAGAGAAGGACTGTAGCAACGATATCCTTTCTGCGTGCGGGAGTAACCAAGAAATACACATTTGGTAGCTCGAGGGTCAAGTTTGTCAAACTCAGGACCTAAATTGTGAACATAACAAACATATCCAAAAATCTTAGGAGTCAGGAAAAATAAGGGCTTACCAGGAAAAATGATAGAATATGGACTTTGCCCATTTAACACAGAGGATGACATACGATTAATAAGATGACAAACAGTAAGAACATCACTCCAAAAATATCAAAAAATATTCATTTGGAATAACAGGGCACGAGTGACTTCCAACAAATGACGGCTCTTGCGTTCAGCAATACCATTTTGTAGAGGGGTGTAAGTATAAGAAGTCTGATGAATAATGCCAGTTTTACTATGATAAGTTGAAAAAGGATCAGATTCATATTCCTGAGCATTATCAGAACGTAAAATACGGCTACGACACTCATACTGAGTTTTTATTTCTTTACGAAATGTCTCAAATATAGAGAATAATTCAGATCGAGCTTTCATCAGAAATAACCAAGTTACACGAGAATTGTCATCTACAAATGATACAAAATAAGGATATTTATTAGATGAAATATTTTTTATTGGACTCCATACATTAGAATGTACCAACTCAAATGGACTAGACACACGATTATTGACTCGAAACTGAAATGACATACGGTGATATTTACTAAGTTGACAAGCTTCACAAGACAAAAATGGCACAGAACTAAGACTGAGAACCTGACGCTTCAGATTCTGGAGAGAGGGATGTTCAAGATGATAATGCCACTGAAAAGGAGACAACGAGGTCTGTAGAGCCCGAGTAGGTGAATCAAAATCAAAGTAATATAGGCCACCAACTTCATGCCCTGTACAAAGCTTCCTCTTCGTCTTAAGATCTTGAAAGACAAAATAAGAAGGATAAAAGGTTACAAAACAATTAAGAGAACGGGTAATCTTGCTAATAGAAAGTAAACTAAAAGGAAACTGAAAAATAAATAATATGGAAGATAGGGACATATCAGGACTCAAGTTAGTAGTCTCCAAACCTGAAACTTTAGAACAAGTGCCATTAGTAAGAGTAGCACTACGTGTGGAGGTAGCAGACTGATAAGTAGAAAAAACATCAGACACACCAGTCATGTGATCAGAAGCACTAGAGTCTATGATCCAGGGATTGCGATTGGAGGACAATAAATAAGTGGAAGCAATACCTGACTGGGCAAAAGTATCAGTGGAGGGAGATGAAACAGCCTGTCGTTGGGATAGGAACTGGGCATACTCCTCTCGACCCAGTGTAATAGTAATTGTAGGTGGCAAAGGTGGAGTCAGGGAGCTGTCACCTTGCTTGGGTTCCATTACAACAAATACAAAAAGAAAATCACTAAATCACTGAACCGGACAAGAAACACCTACTGCATTGCTGAACCGAAGAAGATAAGGTAGCTGGATAACCAAACCAGGTTGGAAACCTAGCTGGGGCACTGAACTGGACCAGAGAAGTCCACTGGAGCGCTAAACCGGACTAGAAAAGGCCACTGGAGTGATGAACCGGACCAAAAAAGAATGCTGGAAGAGTGAACCAGATCGCAAGAGCTGATTAGAGCACTGAACCGGGCAGACCAGGCTTGTTGGATCGCTGAACTGAACTTGTTGAGGCTGCTAAAGGACTAAACCGGACAGCCTGGGCTTGCTGAACTGTTGAACCAGAGTAGATGCTGACTGAACTGGTGGGAAACTAGTTGAACCGGTCTAGGCTGGACCGCTAAGCTGGTCTAGGCTGAACCGCTAAACCGGTCTAGGCTGGACCGTGAACTAGATCAGGTCTGGTCTAGGTTAGACCAGAGACTGATTGGGCTGGATCTAGATCAGAAATAAATTAAAACCAGTGGACCTTGTCTTCTTCGTTGCTAGGGTTTTAGAAGGCCTGATCTTCTTAACAGCGGCGCCTAACAGCCACACCACCACAAAGAATAGCACCACCACACTGATCAACAACACAACAGCACCACCGTAGAGACAAGTGGAAACGACAGCAACAGCACCACCACAGAGACAAACGGGAACGACACCACCACGATTGACACCCAACGACAACACCACCACGATCAACAACGCCACAGTAGATACTACCACAGTCGACGATGCCTCAAAGGCCACCACACCAGACAACATAGCAACACCAACGTCCATAGAGGTCACCACAATCGTTTACGCTAAATTTTTATTTCTTTATTTAGGATCTTAATTGCTCTGATGCCATTTTAAGTTTAGAGGATTAACACAATATTAGAGAGAAATAGAGAGAGGTTAAAAACTTAACTTAGCTCTCATACATAACTTGTATTTATAGTTAACTCACAATAATAAGAATTACACATAATATCCTAACACTATTAACAATTTATACATACTACCCTAATACTCTTAACAGTATGCATGAGGTGCTGGGGAGCCAAAATTTACCTGGCTTGGCAATAGTTAAAATGTTGTTATAATTTTTGAAAGTAAAATGATAATATAAGTAGTCTGAAGGTAGATAAACTTTTGGGAATTGAGAAAATCTGTCTAGACTTATATTTTTTTTCCGGTAAGTATCTAGACTTATATTTAGCTTCACTGTAAATTGCTAGAGTAAGAATGTATCAAGGTTCTTTAGTTTAACTCATTGGTTGTAAGTGCTATCAAGAGCCTAAGTAGGATCTACACAGTTAGAAGGCTGTAGTACTACTATGTATGGCGAAGGGTCACATGTGACAATTTGGACAACCCAATTTCCATTACCCCTCCCCATTGGTTTATATCTTAAAAAAAAAAGAGAAAGCTATAGTTACGCCTTTGTTATGACGGGCCGGTCCATTTTCTTCACTTTTATCCTAACATAGCCTTACCAATTAAGATGGTAAGAGGAATATACTATAAGTAATGTGATACCGGACACGTCAAAATTCCAACACTTCCAAGGACAATTGGGGTTAGGGTTTTCAGTGAAATGTATAATAGATGATTGAGAAAGAACTTCATCTCAATTTTACTTGAAAAGGACAATTTACTTTCATTTGGAGATGATATTCTCTTCAATCTGTCTCAATTTTTGTTCTCCAAGTTAACAAGACCAACCTACCCTCCTCCTTCTCCCATTTATAAATATCTTTACACCTCATGTATTTGAATTTATATGGAGATCCTATGAAGCATGGACACGTGATTTAAGCTAGTATACCGGTGTCCGACACTTCAGGGACACCAACACGTTCTGGACACTTGTTGGACACGCAAAAAAGAGTGTGGTTTCTTTTTTGAATTTGGGGCACATCCCGGACACGTTTGTGACATCTTTGGACCAATTTGTAATCTATAGAAATTGCTTACCATCATCATCAATTGTTTGCATACTGATGATACTGAGGAAAAAAAAAAATAAAAGCAGTCCATGAGGAAGGTCAAAGATCATGAACAAAGGCCATTGCCCATGATTTAAGAACTGCCTAGGAGACTCTCTGCCGGAGAAAGTGAAACAAACTTGCTTTCTTGGTGACTAGAGCCGGAGGTTTTAGAGAGAGAGAGAGAGACTAGAGAAAAGTGTACTTACCTAATGGAAGCAACCACCGCTTTTGGACCTTTAATCTTCTCTTTTTCTTTTTGCCACATGTCACTTGTTGATTGGTTTAACAAAACCCTTATCTCTTATCTTAGTTTATTACAATTGGAATTAATTAGTGGATAGGCTAAGCCCCAAAAAGTTCGAGACTCTTTTTGGGGCCTTTTATTAGGTCCAATGGGTTTCATGCAGATTAAATTTGGGCTGTAGTTACATATGAACGGTAATTTATGTCTTCTTTTTGATGCATTTGGGCCAAATTGAGAATTCATATTCATATAAATTATGTACTGGGCTAAATTTGTGAATATACGACTATATAAAAAAATAAAAATTATTTTATTTAACGTTTTTTCTACGTGTCCGTATCCTACTTTTTAGAAAATTGTCGTTTTCGCGCGTGTTTGTTCCGTATCTATGTTTGTGCTTCTTAGTGGAAATCCTAGCTGATGTAGAAGTGGTGCACACATCAGCTCCTGTTCAATCCGGCTTCTCTGGCCAATCCAACGAATTTTTCTCATTTAAGAAAGATCACGCTGATTTGTAGCACTGAGAGTTTCGTTACCTACCTTCATCATTATTCTGCTGTAATTTATGTTCAAATGTTGTCATTTATGTTCAAATGTTTTCATTTATGTTCTGCTAAAAAGTGAAAGTTCTGTGGCAGATTTAATATTATTTCTTATTGTGGTCCACACATTTCACAGGCGTAGTAGAATTGCTATATTGCTGCATTCGATATGATGCGTATGTGCATTATGGATTTTCCCCTATAGACCTTCCCTGGCTGTAAATTATTGACTGTTGGCTTGGTTCGTATCTCCTGTCACCCTTAAAGGAAAGAGTTTTAGGATTTGAGTCTCAGTTGAATCATGGTTGCTTGTGTGTACTTGAATGCATATTCAAAATTTCTCCTATGCTATGTTTTGGTTCATAATTGACTTATATTCTCAGAGCTTGGTCCGTACACTTTGGATTTCACCTCAAGTGGTCGGTATATGGCAGTAGCTGGACGAAAGGGCCATCTGGCCATCATAGACATGAAAAATATGGGCCTTATGAAAGAACTTCAGGTATCTATACTTTTCAAAGTTGAGCCAATTTACATGTACTAGTGATTTATCAGACATAGAAACTTCCATTCGAATAATGCTATGAAGGTCTCTATTTATTTATTTTTGTTGATGTTAATAGAATGAATGATGCCATTCCATTTCGTATATCAAATTATTCCATAGAATTGTACTGATGTGCTTGTATGAGTATTTGATGTGGAGTTCTTTAGATTTGAAAATATATTGTTGAAGCTGAGTGGAATATAAAGCTACTTTTCTTGACAACTTTATCACACTATAATGATTGGTAGTATGCACTTTTCTTAACTAGTTGATGCATACGTGGTTGCACGCGAACTATTTTCAACTACATATTTTATTTTATTTTTTGGCGCACATGAGAGGTGACATAACATATTGACTAATTATAAAATAATATGAGATTAGCAAATATGTTGAAAGGCAATTTCAAAAATAATTATTGGTCATGTTAATTCTTCGAAATCATGTGAACCAATTTGAAAAGAAGCAACAAATTTGTGATATAAACAAAAGAAGGATTGTGATGAGAAACGTTAAAAAGCCATCAAAGGAATATGGGATGCATAACTAGTCCGAGACAAAGGGATGAGGAATGATTTTTGAACAAAAACTATTACATCAAACAAGAAACAAAACTAAATAAAAGAAGCTCTGTAGTTGTCAAAATGGGAGGTTTAATTGAGAACGAAAAAGATCAAGCATCTAAACCTAGGTCAAAAATAAAGAGCTCTGGTACCACTATAGGGAGTTTTAGTATAGTGAACCTACTGCCAATTCATTCAAATATCTCATGGGGGGGCGGAACACATCAACCTTACATACATGTTGTCAAACACCGAAGATATTTGACATAAATTTGGAACTTTTTGCTATCACTTTTGTGGCTTTTCTTTGGGACTCTTGAGCTTATAGTTTATTTATATCTGTCCATGTGCATCATATTTATGCTTGAAAATGAACACTTAGACCTCAGTTAATATTCTCACCTAGGGAAGCAAATAGTTGCAATGGAACACTAAGAGACATAATTGGTTAAGTAACTTTTTTTAGAACTTACTCCCTAGTCACGCTTCGGTCTCAACATGCTAGGCTGACGAAGTGTCTAATTTTCAACATCCCCCTACCATCACTATAAGCAATGCTTTCTGTTTTTGTGAGGAAGATCCCTCCCACTTGATCATCATTTTCCTACATTTTGGCTTCCAAAGGCGATTCTAAGGGAAGAATCATGACAAACCACAAAACAAAAAATATTCAATCATAAAAAAGTCCCATTGGTTTTCAATTATCATAGGCAATTGCTATTGAAAAAATCCACTTGCCATAGCCTAGAAACTAACAAAACAAAAAATGTTCAATGATAAGAAATTTCCATTGGTACTCAATTATCATAGGCCACTTATGTGGCAATGTCCAATTGCCATAGAATAGAAACCAATAAAAAAGACTCATGCAACATTTCAACTTTCTAGTTCTTTTTGTGTCGGCAAAACAATTGTGTCACCAATAAAACAACTATTTTTGTCAAAAAAAAAAAAACCAAATTCAATTATTATTTTAAAGAAGTGATCGATATGATTTTAATATATCAATAATACACTCCTTTATGCGCAGTTATATACTATTATAAATATGATCAAATTTAGAAGAAGAGAATCCAAACAATAAGAAGGGACAACACAAAACATATACTACTAAGAAGGTATTCAAAAATGTTATAACTAGCCTTTAAGGTTGCTATTTAGGGTACACCTTCACTTGCTGTTGTGTCTGCTACACACAAACACAAGCCTCATAAAGTTGTTGAAAATCTCTTTGTTATTGATCTAAAAACATTCTACTTAAAACCATATGTATGAGAAATAACTCAAATAGATTGAGAACTTAGAATCAAATGCAACGTGATCCAACATCATCCATCCTAAGAACAAATAATCAAGATGATTTAGCCCACATACAATCACACCACCCAAGAATGTTGCATAAAGCAACTGCTTATGATCTTCGTTGTCACTTAGAAAGTAACATGATTTAGTTGTAAACCTTTAGCAAAGCGAACCGGGCTCCTGAAGGCCTAGGTGAGAAGCGAGGCGAGCGCTTCATTGACGCAAAATGAACAATATAAAAAATAAGCAAATATTTTAGTTTCATACTTTGATTACTTCTAAATATTCAAATTTTAATTTTATAAATACAAAATATTTAAATGCAATCAAAATAATAAAGATCAACATATTTTAAATAGACAAGATATTAAATATTGAATAATATTGTATTCTAAAAATAATCAATTGACATAATCACGTCATCTAAATGTAAAGTTAACAAATGTGGGTTCAACTTCCACCGTGATTGATTAATATTACTACTAAACAAAGCACTCACAAATTAATTAATCAAATAGAGCATATAGCAAATTGATTAATCAATTTGATTAACCAAACAAATTGATTAACAAGAGCATTCACATCAAAACAAAGTGTTCAACATTATCTAATCATAAAAAGACATGTTGTCATATGATACTGTTACACGAATTAATCAATTTATATTATATATATACGCATATAATATTATCTCTATTAGGGTTTGGTTAATGTTAAAGAAGGAGAAGGAGGAGGGGGAGGAGGAGAAAATAAAAAAACTGCAAGTAGGCGTTCGCTTTTTTCGCTTAGCTCGCTTCTTCGCTTAAGCTCGCTTTTTCCTCGCTTTACTTAACCTCGCTTCACCTTGGATGTTTAAGGCTCGTTTCGCTTCGCTTCTCGTCTAGGCTCGCTTTTCACAACATTGAGTAAAAGTCATTGGAATTTTCTCACAGGACAATGAACATACAACCGTTACACATAACAATTTGTGGGGAAAATTCAGATGTATTGACCTTCATGAAAAAGCCTCCATTTGTAGCCTTCCTTTTGAAGTCTGATATGGTGGAGCCCTAACACTGCACCCATGGTTAGATTGTGTAAGAGAGACAAATAGAAGTATAATATTTTAAATTTTAAATCAAGCGAGATCTAAGATAAAACCTATGAAAGAAAACGTCAATATAAAATATAGAAGCAATCAAATTCTTGAAACTCTAGTAAGTAATGTCTACCGTTAATGTAGATTTAATATTAATTCTCAGGATTCATAACAATTGCTAATTGAAGAAACGAGTGGTATGCACGTGAAGAGATATAGTGTAATGAAGATTTGAATGGCTAGATACATTGTTAGGCGTTAGAGGTGGTTGACATAAAAGTCCAAAAGTTATTGGTTTAAGATAAAAAGATAAGATGAAAGGGAATAAAAGATATGGTTTTCTTTTTATAATCATAGGTAAAATTGAAACTCATAAATTTTCACAATAATGCATGTTAGAAAATTCAATGAGGGATTAGAGCAATGGAGGACATATCAGTAATTTAGATATAGCTATATATATGTAGAGTTGGACATAATACTCTTTGTAGTATTTTATAGGGACAAAATAGAAAATTCTAAGTTTTTCATGTTAAGGGACATTTTATAATCATATAGATATAGATTAATCGCATATAATGCGATTTATTGCATGTTATTGCCTTAGATATGGTTCACGGAATCACAACTTATCATGTCTCCAACATTACTCGTGTTGCCAAATATAATTTCTTAAGGAGGATACCATGAAAAGGCTTCCTTCTGATGTTTCAGTTGTTATTTAATCACTTAGAGTTAATTTGTTATCTAGTCGGCCTTCGTCTACTATAGGTTAACCGAAGTTGATACCCTGGTGAGAATTGTGTTGTGGACGTAGCGAGCTACGTTGAATCATGTGCAGGTACCTGTGCACTTCGTGGACATGTTTTCAAAATGTCTTGGTTTACCTTCATTGCATCAGCACGTGAAACAGCACTGGTGAATCACTCCACTAACATCCTGGCAATTTCATAGGATTCTGGTCATTCTGCAGTTGAAACCCTGGTCACAGTTTTGTGGTGGACTTGGTGAGCTATTTTGAATGATGTGAAAATATGTGGTACATCACAGACATGTTTTCCAACTGTCTTGGTTTACCTTCATTGCTGCAGCAGCACTTGAAACAACCACCGGTGAATGGTTCCTGTAACATCCTAGGAATTTCATAGGATTCCACCAAAGTTTTGTTCGTGCTGTTTGGTTGTTGAACTAGTAAGTCTTTCATGTGCGACTTGTCAGATTTGAGTTAAGATTGAGGCTAGCAATTATCTTTTACCTTCATTGTCGGCTGTGATAGTAATATTAGTTATAGGATGACAGTCCTATGACCTGAAGATTAATTCCTGATAACCGTGAAGGTCGTTTTGTGAGAAAACAATGATAACATTATCCTGAAATCTGGCAATAGGTTGACGCAATTCAAGTTACAACATTGAGTTTATGGTATTTGTTTGCAATGATAGAAAACATGGAAGAGGAAAGGAAACCTAATTGCATCAGTTGTTGTGCCAAGCATCTGTATTGTGTTTAAACTAGTTAACACTTTCTACTGGAATACCCAATCATTACAAAGAGTTATTGTGTGAATGACATGAAAAAATTGGTCATTCTGCTTAAATTTTGGAGTTTTGATGTTGTTTTCAAAATATCCATGAATCTGTTACATATTAGACTTCATTGATGATGAGGAGAATTACTGTACGACCATGACAAGCATAAGGCTTCTGCTGAAAACATAGTACCTCCCAAGATTAATGATTATTATGAAAGAAACTCAACAAAACTCAATTTAGAGACAATCAGTTGACTTTGTATTTTCAGGCAATAATTTCTTAAGAATCATCTTATTTGATGCCTTGTTATTATACTCGCAGTGCAACTGATTATAAATCATTGAGGTGCTTATCAAAGTGAATGTCTATGTTGATATGGAAAGATGAAATCTGAGTTACTGATGCTTGCTTTTTAGGTTAGGGAAACAGTGCGTGATGTGGTGTTCTTGCACAATGAACTGTTCTTTGCTGCTGCCCAGAAGAAGTAAGGCCTGTTTCTTCATATCCTAGCTTGATTCGTTTATACATTTCTGTAAACATTTTTTGGGTATTTGCATTCCATGATATTGATGCATGGTTTCATTATTTGTGCCCAACTTTGTCTGAATATGATGTACAATGTAGCCCACAGTTGGCTCATGTCTTTTATTGTTTCATAGGACAAGTGGATAAGTGTGGCAGATTTGTGGATGTTAAGATGGACATGTGGCATAACTAGGAATGATGGAGTGAGGAACCAATACTTTCATGAAATGGTAGAAGCACCAATGGAATATAAGATAAGAAAGAATCGACTTGAATGGTTTGGACATGTTGAAGACCTATTATTGTATTAATGAAGAACAGTGATGTGAGATTGATACCTATCAATGATAATGCGAGGAGTAAAATTAGGTTGACATTTACTTTGGATGAGATAGGGAAAAAAGATATAATAGCTTGTGGTTTACGATTTCTGTGGCTTTGATAAAGTATATTTATATAATTGAGCCCTAATAGTTGGGAGAAGGCTTAGTTGGGCCAACGAGATTCCTACGTTGCTTAATTAGTCATTTATTAAAATTATGAGTTGAAATTCTAAGCAGAAATGATGACCCCGGAGTCCTCCCTGTGCCCTTCTTTCTCTTCTGTTTTGACTGAAACAATTCCTCTCCATACTTTGCTTGCTGAGTTTACTGGCAATCTCATAGTAGGTTGCTACTTGCTATAATTGGGCCAGCAATTATTTTTACCTTTGATTCTTCAACGTGGATGTGTTGAAATCTGAACTACCTCTCTGTTCGTGTTATGTTAGCCTATTTTCATGCTTACATTGTGATGATCCGTGTTTATCATATTTTTTAGATTCATGTGAGTTGATAAAGCTTTGTTTTGGGATGTCTAATTTAGAACTGTGATTAACCATCTATATTTCTTTTATCTGCTAAGTTGACTTGTTTTAGTCCAGATCTTGCCTTGAATCCTCTCATCGGTTTTGTCATCAGCGTTTCTATATTCTTTCGTTTCCTTTGATTCAACCACCTTTCATTGTTATGACCCTCACTCCCCATCACTAATTGATTCTGTATTGTCTTGCTTTTGATTACATCTTAATGCTTTGACTGATACAACATGTTGCTATCTTGATATCATGTGTTTCCTCAAACATTTTGTAGTGTGAGGATTTTTGACCTTATTGCAAGCCGATTTCCCTTCTTACTTGCTGTTGTTCAGGAGAAACACTATGAGGGGGTGAATGGGAAGTGAATCATCCGAGCGTGAGAGTGTATGAGATGTCAGCCAACAAGATTTTACATTCATATGCAGATATTGCATAGTCACCTAACGACTTGTCGAGGGTTTTCTGGGTGCAACTGTAGTTTCATAGGAAGCTATGACCTTCAAAGTTGGTTATTAATACAGTGTTTGAGTTGGCGAGGTTTGCTTCAAGGCTCTCATTGTGCAGGACTTTCTAGAGTGTTTTTTTCTTCTATATCATAGGCCACAAATCTCTTCTCAGAACCTTAAGTCTCAATCTTTTGGCATTCCCTTGTCCTTGATGTACTTGATCTCAATCCAACTCTGTGGGCTAGGTTTATGTTATGAAACCAGTTGTTTCTACTGGCTCCATTGTGTAGTGTACCATTTATGCTTGTTCTGTGCACACGTTGCTCAATCCTCGAACATTGTATATCGGGAAGCATGTCTGGTCTTATCAGCTGATAAAATCCTTTTTAGTTTGACAGGACTAAACTATCACAGAACACACTCCTTTAGGTGTAAAAGGACTTCGCTTTAAAAATGCCAGTTGTTTTGATATTAAATGTATCATCTATCAGTAAGGTTATCTTTTAATTTTTTGTATTCTTTTAGCTGTGTGTGGTCAATAACTATGCAAAATGATGATCCTGTATCTATATGTGAGTGATGTGCGCTATTGTGTCAGGTACCCATATATTTATAATCAGGATGGCACAGAACTTCACTGTCTGAAGGTAAATAATATGGCCTGATGAAACTTTTATGTGGCTTTTCTTCCTATGGTATGATTTTTATCCTCCAAGCTTGCTAGAGTCCATGTTGTTGTAATTATTTTGCCTAGAATAAGTGTGATAAAACTTGTTGGGGAATAGGAATTGAAGATAGGAAAGGACAGTAAATAAAATACAAACATTTACATGCTTCGGCACATGGTGCCTACATCTACACACTAAAAGGCTATGTCAGTATTATTATGGGCTGGTAATATTCATAAAACTCAATCCTATTTATAGGATGAAGAGATAATAGGATAAAGATAAAATATATCACTTGACTATTTAGATATTCTTAGATCTGTGTATCCTGTCTTATCTTTATGAAACCGAGTTATAACATATTCGGATACTACCACTTCTCTTCTTATCGGATCTGGGATTCTCAAATGTGATAGCTCAACACATAGCGAGCTCCACATTATGTTAGCATCTATCCTCCAGTATTGGGTTTCTACACGTTTTTTTTCTTCCTGGTCATCCTTTGCACATTAACAAAGGTTCACCTGGTATGTTCCTGTTTACAGTAGTTGACATTATGAAGGATCCCTAGGAGGCGGTTGCCTAGCTTGCACTCATTAAGGGCAGAAGTGCATGTCCATTAAAACTAGTTAGCAAATCTTACTTTCAATCTATATTTCTATCTCTTGCTGGTTGTGAACTTTGAACTGATTACTAATATTGTAACCTACAATATTACACTCAATTGGTTCGCCAGCCTGCCCTTGTATTCCCTCTTGTGATGAAAAGGACAACACTATAAGCCAGTGAAATTCCAAGTTCCTAATTGCGTGAAATATGATTGTGAACTTTGGGTGGGTCTTTGGAACATGTTATTATGGATGAATGCGAAGTTATCCAATCCAGGAGAATTCATGTCTACTCTCAATTGACTTGTAAGCTCTCATGGATTTTGAAGTAACCTTGTGGAGTCACTTAGTTGTATTGTAGTAGGAAGTTGAGTCTTAATCTTACCATTTGGTGTATTTGACAGCTAAGGATCTTGTGGTGTTAATTCTGTAACAGCAGAGGTGCTGTTGATTAAAACGGCGTTAGTTTGATCCAAAACGTTGTGGTTTTGATCAATCACACCTCTGCCATTTAAAAACTAACTGCAAATTAACAGCGGAGGAGCCGGACGATTATTAGACTGTTGCATGCAACTCCACCTTTTGGCATACTCATGTTAGACATTTGATGAAGATTCTTGACATTGCTTGGTAGTTTCATCGAGTTCATCGAATTTGTGCTTGTATTGGCTTCTCACATTTGTGGTAACAGGCCAAACATGAGGAATAATGATATGAAACAAGAAGCTATGCCTATATTTTGGATGCAGTCAGACTTTTGACATGATATTGATCTGCTCTGTCATACATCTTAATCATATTACATTAGAGGCTGTTCACCTCATGAAAAAATTGTTTAGAGATCTGTGGCGGTTCCATTTACACCTATCTGAGTGCAGTTTCAAAGAAATATATTGTGTCCTGGCTTTTTATATTGATACTTTTTCCTGAATGCTTAGTGTTTGGTCCGAGATGCATGTATAAATCTGAGTTATGCCATCTATGTCTTTCAGGAACATGGTGCAGTCCTGAAGCTTCAATTTCTGAAGAACCATTTCCTGTTGGCATCCATAAACAAATTTGGGCAGCTCCATTATCAGGATGTTACTACGGGAGAGATGGTAGGTAATTACAGAACTGGTCTAGGCCGTTCAGATGTTCTGCAGGTAAATCCTTTCAATGGTGTGGTTGCTGTTGGCCATTCTGGCGGTACAGTAAGCATTTGGAAGCCTACCAGCGCTGCTCCCCTTGTCAAGATGTTGTGTCACCGTGGACCTGTCACAGCTTTGGCCTTTCACCCTAATGGCCATCTCATGGCGACAGCAGGTATGGAGAGGAAAATAAAGCTTTGGGACTTGAGAAAGTTTGAGGTTCTCCAAACATTACCTGGACATGCCAAAACCTTGGATTTTAGTCAGAAAGGTTTGCTTGCTACATCAACTGGTTCGTTTGTACAGATTTTGGGAGATTTATCTGGATCTCAGAATTATAGCAGATACATGGGTCATTCTATGGCAAAAGGTTACCAGATACAAAAAGCAGTATTCCGACCATATGAAGATGTGTTGGGGATAGGGCATTCGATGGGTTGGTCTTCGATCCTTATTCCTGGGTCCGGAGAACCCAACTTTGACTCTTGGGTTGCAAATCCATTTGAGACATCTAAACAACGTAGAGAGAAGGAAGTTCGCTCTCTTCTTGACAAGCTCCCACCGGAGACAATTATGCTGGATCCCACAAAGATTGGTGCAGTGAGGCCTACAAGGAAGAAAGAAAAGCGAACAAAACAGGAGAGAGAAGATGATATGGAAACTGCTGTTGCAGCTGCTAAAAGCCTTCCCTTTAAGAAGAAAACGAAGGGTAGGAACAAGCCAACTAAAAAGGTGAAGAAGAGGCAGGAAGGCATTGAGAAAGCCAAGAGGCCTTTCTTGGAGCAACAAATGAAGGAGGAAGAATTGTCCAAAAAGAAGAGGAAGAGAATAAGCGATGAAAATCCACTGCCCAAATCTCTGCAGCGGTTTGCTCGCAACAAAGCAGCAACATGATTTTTGTGAGTTTGGTGTTACAGCGTTGATTTATTTACCAATTCTTAGGCTGCTGTATTATTGTGTTTCGCCAGTCCCATTTTCCTTTTCCGGTCTCTCGAAAATTTTGGACAAAGATATATAGATAACCGTAGAGTATAATAGGGTCTCGGTGCTAGATACACCGATACGGATGCTGGTTGATCCGGTTGTTGTTGGACGATCTGGTAATGGACTTGGTCTAGCTGCCTCCGTGACTTCTACTAGTGCAACTTCCCCAAGAAAAATGAGAAGTGTGTATCTGCCAATGTCATTTTTGCAACATTAAAAGTCCACTTTGAGTTTTGTTTTCTTTTTTCTGTAACAGTTGAGTAGGGGGAGATGGACTAGCATTGGTTTTTTGGGGGTTTGGGAAAGAAAAGGGGATGCAGATGCGGTGGAAAAATGTCCGGGAGGAAATCGAAATTCAAAAAATATTGAGAAAATTCTCAAGAAAATTAGCAAAATGGCTTTTATGATTCAAATTAACTAGTTATAGAAAATGAGAAATTAAGGGTGGCAAATGTGCCCACATAATTCAATGAAGATGATTGTGGTAGAAAAAGGTTTTGGAAATTATGTTTTAGCTCTTTAAAGCTTAAATTTCATGTCATTCATTATAATATTACTAGGCTTTTCATTGTGACATTTTCCCCCTTCTTTATCCCATGGGCTGCACGACCTGAAGCCCACTATTTGGGTATACCTTAATTGGGCTTTTGGGCACCAGTAAAAGTTCAACGGAGCTCGCCAAGTTAGGCGATGGGCCTTCGTAATCACTCAACCACCCCATCCGGGTGAGTGAGTAAATGTTCAGTGCAACGTTGACAAGTCATCAATAGTGTATTATGCAATATAAACACTGCTAAATGGAAGAAAATATTAGGAAAAATGCTAATTAAACGGCTGCATTGAATTAAATTCCTTATTAAGTCCATATAGCATTGCTCAAATATTAGATATTACGTTTACACCGTGTTATTATACTGACATGGTGTAACCGTCCACTAATAAGACAACAAGTGGACACGTGAATGCCACACAATTAAATAACTAATCATCCAGGTAGAAAATTGGCATACACTTGTTCCATTGAATTATTTTCTTTTTTCATTGAATGATTATACCATGTCGACATGTTGATACGGTGTAACCGTGACACTTAATATTTACTCGCTAAGTGGATAAAATATACCTCGCTTTTTTTTTTATTTTTTTTATTTGGTGATTATCAAATTACATGAACGGTAGTAACTAAAATGTGTGGAATCTACTTATTTATTTATTATATTCTTATTAAATTGTGATATTATGTTAAGACGATGACATGCTATCACTGTTATATTAAATATCATCACTTTGAAAATGTCATCAATTTATAAAACAGATGCTCAGCCACACTCATAACTATAGAATAGATGCAGACCGCCATCCCTTCCCCAAACAATAAAAAAAAAAAAAAAAACTTTTTAAAACTGTCCCGTGAAGACGTATCTAAATTGTTTACAGATTCATTTGTGGCGGACTCAAATTCATTCAAGAACAACATATGTTGGTAATATCTCTTGACGCGATATAAATGTAGTTTTATTACAATCTAAGCCTTACTGTTCGAGCCGTGAAAATAGTTTATCCATCGCAAAAATAAATTCAATTTATTTTGTTGGGTTAATAGCACTTTTGATCATTAAAATATAAACGTTTTGTCAGTTTTATCCTTAAAGTATTCAATTCATATTTAAATGATTCCCACACAAAACGGACCGTTAAGTTTGTGTCAGAATTATCACGTGATACTTTTTAAAAGATTGACAAGTGGTCACTTTCGTTAGAAAACTTAACGAGTTGTCTGATTAAGGATCAAAGTGATACGAATTGAAATTTTAAAGATCAAATAAAAAAATTTAATACAATAAGAATCAAGATGATAAAACATACATACTTTAAGGACCAAAAGTACTATTAACTTTATTTTGTTATATGTTGTCTATCATATGTTTAGCATACAACATTATTACTCATTATTAGATTAAAAAAATAATGCTAAAATTATTTAATTCATCAAAAATATGTTGATTCATTGATACTATACAACAAATCAATAAAAATAATTTATTACAACTATAATTTATAACAGTCAAATTTTAAATATACTCAACGAATTACAAGCGAAAATAATGAAAAAAAAAAAACCCTTACAAAACACGCAAACATGAATTTCAAGTTGTAAAACAAAAAAAATTTAATCAATTACTATTAAAAAAATCCTAGTCTTTTTCTATAATGTGTGCAATGTGTTCTCTCTTCCCCTTAATTTTTAGTCTGTTGATCAAATTCTAATTGGTGATGCGTGTGTAACATTCGATCGTGTAAAAGAAATTTATTAATGAACTCTTTTTTATTTTCTAATATATAAAGAATAAACTTGGTGGGTCAAGTTAAAACTCGTCCAATAGTGACATAATGCAAGATACGAAATGGTCGAATGTACGTTAGCGAAAGAGGTTCTAGACAAAAAAATAATAATTCTAAAGATTAGTTTATGTTTTATAAAAATTATAACCTTAAAGAATTATACTTTATCCCTTAAAAATTATAACTTTACCCTTAAGTTATAATTTTTAGTATGGTATAGAAAAATTCTTTTTCGGTTTCGTAGGCTTAACGTTATTCTAATTGCAACCAGTTGACTTGCATATTAAAATAAATTTTTACAAATATTTTAGTGCTGTCAAATTTTGAAAAACTTCAAAAATTCTCAAAACTTTAAATATACTCAAAAAAAAAAATTTAGTATTGCACTGGGGCAGTTGCCTTCAGTGTAAATCTGCCTATGGTTTCATTAGAAAATTATAGATCCTCACACAGTTGATTATGACCAAGTAAAAACAGATTAGACCCAAAATACTTAGAATTCTTAGCCTTAAAATTGATACAGTTGACAACAGAACTCGCTTATTTAATACTGAAATTCAGAACACGCTAAACTATAGATATTGCATTGAATACTTCAACTACCGAAAGTGAAATGAACTACATGACTAAGTTTTTGGACATCTTCACTTGATCATTTCATTATGTGGTACCTTTTTTCCTATTTAAAAATTGCATGTCAAATGTTTCAACTAATCTGGTTATAATTTTGTCTTTCGGGTTTACTATTAATGTGGCAGACAATCCATGTTTTTTAAATAAATAAAAAATAAAGGTTTCAGGCTACCAATTCTTGCTTCGTGAGTAAGGTTTAATAGAATATTAGAGGAGACTCATGTAATACACGGAATTTATAACTCTTCTGAGTCTTTCTAAAAAATTTTTTGCCTATCGATTGAAATGTTTGCAAGAAGGTCGTACAGATAATTCTTGTATTGTGATTAAATAAATAAAAATTCTAAGAGAATCAAATTGAGGAAAGAACGTTTCTCAAGCGCTCTCTCCTCTAAATTAATTGTAATAATATATAGTTTAGATAGATTATTACACAGAGTAAATTACACTGAAATCCCTTTATTTAAAAAAAATATATATGTATTCTCTACCTCTTGATATCATAAATTACACTCAAACTCAGATGCTGTTAATTTGATAATTTTATTTTATTTTTGGGTAATTATCATGTTAGCTTTTATCACCATACAACATTACCATCTTTTCTTTTCTTTTTTAGCTGGTGGACAATATCACCATCTTTGCCTTGAAAAAAACTAGTCAAAACTGGCAAAACTTAAACAAAATCAACTGAAAAGGTGGAGGATTTCAGGCACCCAAGACCTTCCCCTAATCCTTCTCCTACCCAATCTCTATCATTGTTTATTTTTGGGTAAGGTTTCTAATGGAGAAGTTCATATTGTATATAAAATGTTTAAAATCTAAGTTGGCCAACTAACCCTTATAGGGCTGAGTATTCTAAAGAATACACAAGGTCCAAAAGTGGTTGTGGGTGATTTTTTTTTTCCCATAATTACAAATGTCTCTAAAAAGTTAGTAGCAGATCTCTAAATATTGTATCTTTGCTCAAAAACTATCTTAGAAGGGACAAGTTTTTTCATTAAACTATGAGAGATGTCAATAATGTACTCCAACAATACAATGACCTAAACAGTTCAAAGAACATGCAATAGTTGAACTCAAGTGATTTTCATACGAAAATGCTACGTTGCTCAAATCAAAACCTAAATTTCTATCCCCAAATGTATTAACACCGTACACTCAGTGAAAAAGTTAATTTTTGGAACCCAGAAAATGATGTGAGGTGCAGACTCATTTAGGATGAAGAAGTCGGATTTTGATTTGGATAGCATAACAGCGCCAGCTCAAAAAAGAGATAGTCTCGGAAATTTCTTAACCAGTTTGATCATAGTTGTTCAGGTTCATTGGGCAACGGAAAGCTCTTCTAGTCCAGGTATACCTGAGGGAGGAATCAAGAGAAGCACTCCACGAGGCAACTCTTTAGAATTTTTAAAAAACCTAGAAGATTTAGGTTTACCCAAATTTTTTTTTTTTTATATAATTTAAGGGTATCTGTTATAAATACTATCCCCGACCCAATCCCAATAGATTCCTCAGTCTGCAGACCCATTAATTTTTTTTTATATAATTTAAGTATATAATATATGGGATAAGTTGACAGTACTGAAAATGTTTTTTTGGGTATTGTTCCATTAAATATAATTATTAAGGGTTAAGCTATAGCATTTGAGATTTTTATGATCCATCCTAAAATTTTAGAATCAATCCTGATTTTTTATGTTGGAATAGGGTCAATTTTTTTTTTTTTTTTATAAATATAAATTAACCCACACAAATTGTAATTTGTTATAGGTCATCCAACGGTACTGCTTTTTTATGGTGTATCCATGATTAAGGGAAATAGCCCGACGATCGGGAATACTTCCGCATGTAAGAGTATATTCAATCTTGACTTAAATTTTTAGTTAAATTTAAATTAATATTTGAATAAAAAGTTTGATTTGATATAAAGAGCTCTAAAGAACAAACTCAAATTTAAAAGAGAAACTTAAATTTAAATGAGGATAAACTTAAATTAAAAGATAAACCCAAATAAATTAAATTAGGGTAAACTCAAATTTAAAAAGAAAGATTGATTTTAAAATTTATTCATTAAAAATTTGGATAAAAAATTAAGTCTCCCTTGATTTGAGTAAAAAAATGAGTCTCAATTGATTTGGCATAAGTTTGAGTCAAAGTTTGGAACAAGTTTTTGAACTATTTTACTCAAATTAAAATTTGAGTCAGAGTTGAAGATATCCTAAGTTATAATTAACAAATTCGAATTTTGTCATTATTAATGAGGTCTAAGAGAAGTAAACGATAAATAACCTTATTCCTAGGTTAATGATTGAATAGATAAGCGCACGTCATTACTATTATATATCATTTCTCTCTTGTAG